AGCTGCTTTAATGCCGGGCAGAGGAGTTGTGTTCAGATGAAGCTCTTCTTCCAAGCATTTTAATAGCACACAATCTATATGTAGCAGGCAGACCCTCATTAATTTTGGATGTATGGAACAGGAGCTCCATCTGGTGGGCAGCACTGTTAAGGCCACTGACGCAGAGCCTATGGCTAGTATAGTAAACTTTGAATGGAGTTGGTTTATTGATGCACACAAAGTATTTCCAGCATTAGGCTCTTCTCCAGTGAGTCCTTCCTTCTCATTAGGTGGCCAAAGTATTTGAGTTTCATCTTCAGGATCTGGCCTTCTAAAGAGCAGTCGGGGTTGATCTCTTCTAGGACTGACTGGTTTGATGCTGGGAAAGATTGAGGGCAATAGAAGAAGGGGACGACAGAGAATAAGGTGGCTGGATGGAGTCACTGAAGCAGCAGGCCTGAGCTTAAATGGACTCCAGAAGATGGTAGATGACAGGAAGACCTGGAGGAACGTTGTCCAGGGGGTCGCGATGGGTCAGAAATGACTTCGCAACTAACAACAACAACAAAGTATTTCAGGCACAAACCCGCAGCAGTAATACAGTTGCATCCAAGGCTTTTTTTTATCATAGAATGCCCAGAACAGAGTTCTGGCACCTTTTCTGGATGGAACCTTGTAGGATAGGCAAGGCAGGTTGTATGACGTGTGTGAGTTCTGGCACTTTTTTTTTTTTTTTTTTTACAAAAAAAGCACTGGTTGCATCTATGACACCAAACCAATCTAGAACTCAAAAGCAGACACACACACACACACACACACACACACACACACAAATAATCTCATTCTCGTTCTGGCCACTGAACTGACTTGCTGTAATTTGCCAAGATTTTCATTAAGCAATGTAGCAAAAACCCAATCAGCTATCAGAACGCTTTAGGAATATGGAATAATTCTTTTAGTCTCTCCTCCCCCATTCATCTTCAGGAGAGTGCAAAGTTGCACCTGGAGCAACAATGGCAAAACTGCTGTTGTCTTTGTTATGTCCTGGGCCGGCAGGCACAGGCTGCAGCGATTGGCCCGGCCAGACCATGTGGATGCCCGGGACAAGAAAGGCTGCTTCCAGCCTTTGCAATGATTGACCAGCAAGGTATTGTGCAGGGGGGCTATAAAAGGGGGCCGCACAATTTTAAAAGCTGTTCTGTTGGTGTTGCAATAAAGCAGACTGTTGGAACTCGTTGCTTTGTCTCAATGCCTCTTTTCCTGAAACAGAACAGTCTTGTTCCCTCCCAAGACCCCAAGTGACAGGTTCAGGGTCTCTTAAGCAACACGGACTGGGACAGAATACAAGATTCTATTTCTCATTTGCACAAGCCACTCTTTAATATAACCTGGCTAAAATATCCTAATGTCTACACATACTGGCATCTGGGGGAAGGGTTGTCACAAAAGGCAAGAAAGAGGTGACCTCAATCACATTGCTATGACCGCCATCTTGTCTTTTTTTCAACTCTCTGCAGACACTAGTGTCATTTTTATGTCGCCATACACTGAAGCGATGCACTTTGAGGATTACAAATATGTCTGTTTATCCATCAGCGTATTTAATAGCGTCTCAGAAGCTATACAGAAATTCTTCTCATTGCCTTTTTTATAACAACAGTCAGGATTTTTATACACTGTATGAAATGTAATTGTGGACATATGACATTAACGCTCTGCTCAAGTGGTATGTGGTAACGTATTTTCAGAAAAGCAACCAGATTTCGTTAAGAAGTGACAGATTTAAAACGCACACAGACACAAAAATACGACAGCTGAGTTCTCGCAACAGGAATCCAGAATAATATATTTTAAAGAATTGATGGATTAATATGATTACATGTTTAGAGCAATACATTTTTTTTTAAAAAGAGTATTTAAAATGTGGCTGACATATAATGATGTGTTGGAATGCCGTATTTTTTGAAGGAACTTTAATAACAAGACACACTATTTATGCCTTTAGATTCTACACAAAGTTACCTTGCAACCATTATTGCAATTATTCCTCTCTTTCCGGATGTCGTGGTAAGATTACTGTCATTATTTTTTTCTAAATGAGAAGTCAGCCTTTTGAGGTAGGCCAGTTTGAGAACTGGAGAAATCCCCCAATTACTGGGGGGGGGAACGAAAAGATTAAATCTCAGGTCTACCCAGTCGGAGGATTACAATCACAATCACAAAGATCACAAGGATCTTTGAAATTTCAGGTTTAAAAAGAGGAGGGGGGCAAAATGCAAACCTGATCTCTCGAAAGATACTTGATAGATTCATTGACTTGAGTGTGTAAAAGACTTTCACATTAGATCTGAAATTAATTATATCACCATTGTATTTTTTTTTCCACTTAGCTTTACCCCGGGTCACTTTGAAAACAGCAGAATGAAGCATAGCGAAGGCCAGAGACGCTAAATTGACTTCTTCTCTTTGTCTGTTTGCTTCCCTACACAACCTACACCACTGAAAATTACTATCTGATGTCTGAAAAAGCAAATTAGTTGAGATACTCTTAGAGTTGCTTCAGCAGAGACATTGCTGCTGTTACCCTGATCTCAATTTTTCCTCAGATGTGGTTATGGAAGTCAACAAGAGAGTCAAGCTCTCGAAGTTCATTCCACTCTTTGGCTACCAGTAGCTTACAAAGATTAGATCAATGTTTCTCAGCCTTGAAGTTTAAAATGGGTGGACTTAATCTCCTGGATTTCCCCAGCCAACCAGGCAACCACTGCCATCTTAAAAATCTTTAGTCAGAAATAAACCCAGCTCTAGTTTGTGTATTTACTCATGAATGTGTATGCATCGCATTGCCCTTTCATTAAGGCCGGGGTCTTCAGACCTGGCCATTTTATGACTTGTGGACTTCAACTCCCAAAATTCCTCAGCCAGACACGCTGGCTGAGGAATTCTGGGAGTTGAAGTCATAAAAGGGCCAAGTTTGAAGACCCCTACATTAAAGTTACCATTTTGGGCATACAAAGGTCCATACCACCACCAGATGGCAGCAATGATATACAAAAAAATTAAGCCTTTACAGTTCTGCCATCGACAATCTTGGCCATCCAGATTTTTGCAGTTCAGATACAGAATGTTCTGTTTATATGTTTTGCTTTTAAAGTCAAAGACACCATCTTGATAAAAAAAAAATTTTGTAATCATATTTTTCTAAAAATTTAACACACACCCTATAAATCAATTATCTTTGGTCCAAAGCACTAGTGAGAACTATATAGCTGATCAAAAAAAGCAACCCAAATGGTTATCCAGCAGCACGCACACATATATCCATAGGAAAAAAATATTTTTTTTAAAAAAAAAAAGATCAAAAGATTACAAGTAACAGTATCAGCTATCACTGCTTTAGCTAAAATAGGTTTGCTTGGTAAAACTCAATGCACAGTGTCTCTTAACCAGCAATTCAGCGCAAGCTCAGATCTGTCACACTTTGTTTATGTCTGCTACTTAAGATAATTTGGTTTCTCCTCAATCTTTCGTCCATTCCCCCCAGCCTTTTTTTTTTCTTCCTTCCTTCTAATAACTCCCATCTGATCACTCGGATTATTTGCAGACTTGCTAACTTATTTATTTTATTTATTTATTTATGAGACTTATATACCGCTTTAAGTGCAAGCACTCTCTAAGCGGCGTACACCAGTAAGCAATGTGTATATATATATATATATATATATATATATATATATATATATATATATATATATATTTACATTGCCCCCAACAATCTGGGTCCTCATTTTACCTACCCCGGAAGGATGGAAGGCTGAGTTAACCTTTCTTTCTATGGAGAGAGAAAGGGAAAAAGAGTGGGTGGGTAGATCTTGGTGTAGTGGTTAGAGACATGAGGCTAGAAATCAGAAGACTCTGAGTTCGAGTCCCACCTTAGGCACCAAACCAGCTGAATGACGTAGGGCAGACATGTCAAACACAAGGCCCGGGGGCCGGATGCGGCCCGCGAAATGGTTTCATGTGGCCTACGAAGCCATCCTGGAAACAGTGAGGGAACAGCCCCCGCTGCCTTGGCCCTGGCCCAGGCCGGCCGGGAGCCAATGTACAATTTTGTGGTGGCCATCTTTGCTGAAACATATTCAGTCTTAGCTCCACAAAGCTGTCTAGAAACAGCGACGAACCAGCCCCTGCCATGTCGGCCCCGCCCCTTGGGTGCATGCTGAGGAGGTGTCACCCTTTGTGAGGAATGAAGAAATGACCATTGCCTGGAAGTGGCCAGCAAATGGCCCTCGTCTACTTCACCTATCCGGCTTGATGGGCTCCGGGGGAGGGGTTTCGGCAGGTAGCGGGGCGCTCTCCTCACAGTGCCGAGATGCTGAGCCAGGCGGCGCGAATCCAAAAAGAAACACGAGGCCACCCAGCTCCCAGCCTGCTGGGTTTCAACAGGCAGCGGGGCGCTCTCCTCACAGCACCAAGAGCTGAGCTGGGTGGCGCGAATCTGATGAGAAGTGCAATGCGGCCTAGCCCCCAGTCTGCCCAGTTTCAGCAGGCAGCAAGGTGCAAAGCTGGTGAGCTTCGCACCGCCAGACTCAACCTCTCGGCACTGTGAGGAGAGCGCCCCGCTGCCTGCCGAAACCACGCCCACCCAGTAGGCTACACCCACCCCATCCACGCTCACCCTGTAGGCCGCACCCACCCTGGCCACACCCACCCAGCCCCCCCCCCGAGGGCAACCGCAATGCTGATGTGGCCCTCAATGAAATTGAGTTTGACACCCCTGACGTAGGGTCAGTCACACTCTCTCTCAGCCGAAGGAAAAACACCACGATCAACTACTTCCAAAAACATCGCCAAGAAAACTGCAAGGTCTTGTCCAGGTAAGTCAACATTGATTTGAAGCACGCATATACAAATGTATAAATAATACTTCACTATCTGTATATGTCACGTATGCGATGAATGGGACAGTAAAATACCAAGTATATTCGTGAATAAATTTATTAGATTGTAGGTGCTGCAGGAATCTTTGTTTTTTTACAAAAAAAAATGAAACATGTCTGGAACATTTGGGTTTCTTCTGATTATACAGACTTAGGGGCCCATTAATTCTGGCATTAAAGAAAGCTAGGGAGTCAATTCTTTAAAGAAGAGAAAATACATTGTTCCAGTAGGCGACCCTATGAAATATTCTTTCAATGAAAATATGTTTCAAAAGTCTAACTGGTTTATATTTAGAATTCTCACAGTTTTAAACATGAAGATGGTGTTTTATTTATACAGTCGTGAACGATGGAAAAGATTATTCATTGTCACTGTGAAATTGGGGACTTGTGTGCTGAAATAAAAGTCTTTCACCAACAGTTATATAATTATGTAAAAACCCACAATCATATTTCCATGAAAATACAGCTATATACTTTTATTGGGCTTGATCTTAACAACATTTAGGCATTTTTTATTCCATTTGTTACAGTTGGACTTCAAATGTTCTAAATAAGCACCATCATGTGATTATACTTCAAAAGACATCCATACCATGCAATCTTACACACGTCTTAAGTACTTAATCAAAACTCAGTTGCAAACAAATCCATACAATATACGAATGCAGCCTCAATATATTGCAGTTCTCAAGATAAATCCTTATGGTCTGATCATAATATATTGAATGTTGGCATCCTATCCCATTTCTCCCTCCTAATTTTCCAAAGGAAGTGATGTCGTCTCAAGCTATGTAAACAATCTTTAAAGATCAAGAAACCTTAGAATGCATGTGCAATTTTAAAATCATGATTGCATTCATTTTGTTAAAAAATGCCAAGTTATAAAAACATACTAAGCTTTGTCAGAGGCATTCAAAACAGTTGTTCACATTATTGTAAGTGTAGTTTGAGGTACTGCTGGAACGGAAGAAGGCACCATAGAAGCAGATTGGTTGAGATGTACAGAATCAAAAAAAATCATATCCTATTGAAGAGTCTACTTTCCTATTGGAGAAAAAAATGTATATAGATACAGCATTATGCACAATTCCCCCCCCCAAAAAACCCAACTCTGCAGTAAATTATTTCAAATAGGAGATAGTATATTTTTCCAAATGTCTTTTCCCTTATGTATTGATTGTTCAATTGCAGTCCTATACTTAATTACCTAGGGGTAAAACTTGGTTGATATCAGAAAGAGTTACTTTTGAGTAAGAAAAATGGATTGTACTATTACTATTGTACTATTAGTTAGCCCACACATTAGTTTATATGTATAGTGAGTGCCTATATTCAGCACAGAATTACTTGCATTTACTAATAATTTTTCTTAATTTTTCTGGATAGATCCCTCATTTGCTGTTTTATTTCCTTAAAGTTACTGTAACTCTACAAAAAGGACTATGAACTCCAGCAAATATTAAGACAGTGGTTCTCAACCTTTTTGATGCCGCGACCCCCAACCGGTCGTAAGTTGAGGGCTACTCAACCGGTCGTAAGTCGAGGACTACTCAATTGGTGCAGCACCGTTTGCAGAATGGGACTTTTGGCAGGCTCAGCAGGGCAGAGACAGCCTGGACAATTCCTATTGGCTTTTGAAAGCCAATAGAATTAGACTCTATTCAAGAGAGTCTATTCTATTGGCTTTCAAAAGCCAACAGAATAAAAGGGAGTAACACAGCTAAGGAAAAGGGGGAAAAAAATGGCGGACTGTGTTGTTTGGCGGCCCCCGTGAAATGGTCGTTCGACCCCAAATGGGGTCCCGACCCACAAGTTGAGAACCACTGTATTAAGAGAACATCATGATATGGGATCTATTGGATGTAAAATGACCTAAGGAATTCTATAAATCATAACCCAAAGCCTTAATATCATTAAAGGAAACTATTTATATTAAAACAGTGCAACTGAAGAGCATTGGTTTTAAAGAGAAAAAAAAACCAGCCTGGAAAATGATATATATTGTCTCTTTACTTGATTATCATTTTATATTAAATTAAATTTGAATTTTTTTAAAACCATGGCTGCCTACATTCTGAAAAGGCCCACTTACTTGGGCTTCCGCTCCTTAATGGAGAAGGGCTCCTGCTTCGAGTTGCCTAAAAGACAAAAAAAAAAGAGATGATATTTTGATTCATCCCCATTCCTTTCACTCTAGAAAAAAAATAAATCGGAATTGAACACACACAGCGTCAGATTAGCTGGGATGAAAAATTGTAGCATTTTATAGCGGTAGCCTCAGTGTGTCCACCTTGCCACAACTGGAATACATCTTAGTCGCATGACTTAAGTGCTAAGACTAGTTTTAAGGGCCATCTATTTGATATACGGTATATTTGATTATTCATTCTCCAGAGTAAATTAGGTCAGTTAGAACGTTGTTGATCTGCTCTACTGCCATTTCTCAATTAATATAGATCAGTGTTTCTCAACCTTGACAATTTTAAGGCATGTGGACTTCAACTCCCAGAATTCCACAGCCAGCAATGCTGGCTGTGGAATTCTGGGAGTTGAAGTCCACATGCCTTAAAATTATCAAGGTTGAGAAACACTGGTATAGATCAATGTTTCTCAATCTTCGCAACTTGAAGAAGTGTGGCGTTAATCTTCCAGAATTCATCAACTACCATGCTGGCTGGGGAATTCTGGGAGTTGAAATCCACATATCTTCAAGTTGGCAAGGGTGAAAAAAATCCTCTGACTTAGATATTGGCATTCCACATACAGTAGTGGCCAAAATTGTGGAAATCTTTTGGGAAAAGTGTACAGTAGAAATGCCACCTTTGGTTAAATTTCCACCCATTTTTCTTCTAATTTCTTTATACCTGTAGCCTTGTTCACTTAATAATACTATTTTACATCGCTTCCTGGGCAACCAGTCAACTCTTTGCACCGTTACTTTAATTTTATTATGTTTTGCAAGCTCACTCAATGAAAGAACACAAAAAAAACCAACCAACTTGATAGCGATCACATAACACACTGACCAATGTCCTCAGCTTCAATACAGGACATCAATCACTGAATTCTACTGTGATCTGATTGGCTCATTGCCAAAACAAGATGACACCTGATTGGCTCTCTAAACACTCGTGCTCATTGGCTACAATCGGATGAAGGAAAGCTACCTGAGATCAACCTAAGCAAGTTGTACTTCCTTTTTCTGGTTATTTGGTTGTAACTTTTCATAGAATGCAGTACAGATAATTGAACAAACTTTGTTGCATTACATTCTTGATTACATTATCTTTCCATTGATATATAATTTTATGGTACTACTCCAAAAAAAGTGGTGTTATTAGCCATCAAACCTCAAAAATACACTTTTCCCAAAAGGTTTCCACAATTTTGGCCACTACTGTATATTAGCCCTACCAGACAGCTGTGTTAAAGAGCAGTCTACCAGTCCTGGAGCCAGGAGAATAATGTGCTATCATGAGTCTCAGGTCCCAAGTGGCCTCACATCATCATCACATCGCTTAGAAGGCCACACCACTGTGTATTGTTGCTCTCCATTAAGAAGCTTCCTATATTTTTTCCAGTTGCTGCTGGACCAATGAAGCTGCAGCTCTCTTGCGCAAACCATTGAACCCAGAAGAAAAAAATAATAATTTTGCACTTAGAATTGAACAAACCATCCATCAACGCTGCAAATACTGTATATTTTTGCTTTGACAATATGCAGAACTGTCTGTTATTTTTGGGGTTAATACAGAGCAGAAGAGGGTGGGGGGTAAAGCCCGGGAAAGAAAGAGGAAGGAAACCTTTGACCTTCACACTAATTGGATAATGTGATATATGACAGCTAATACAGGGAGGGAACATGCTGATAATTCAACTGCTCAGAGGGAGAGAACTTAGATCTTAGCATAAACCTTCCGTTATGCCTGTGCCGACATTTTGAAGCAATAAAAGACTTTTAAGGAAATCAATGCCTGGAAGTTCTTTGAAGTGTTTTGTTAGCCGGAATCATAACACCATCACCTTCCAAGGCCCCTTTCCTTTGCCCTGTAGTAAGAAGAGTCAGCCTTGGGTCACCAACAGCCACGTACAAACTTTGAAGAAGGGGCGAAGGATTCAAAGTATGTGAGGCTGGATTGGGGCAAACCTGGGTGATGCTTCTTCGACCTTTTAGAGCAGGGGTGTCCAACTCACAATGTCACATGATGCGTCGCGACGTATCGTGACTTTTTTTTCCCATTGCCGGCAATGGGTCAGGCGCGGTTTCGCCATGACGCATCCGGCCCGCGGACTTGTAGTTTGATGCCCCTGTCTCAGAGGGAGATCTTTGAGAGTAAGGCTTGGATTACTATTTTCAATCTTGGGTGGCCTCATTCCAAAGTTTACAGCTTCCCGCTAGTTCAGTGGTTCTCCACCTGTGGGTCGGGACCCCATTTGGGGTCGAACGACCATTTCACGGGGGTTGCCAAACAAGGCTGTCCGCCATTTTTTTCCCCTTTTCTTTGGCTATGCCCCTGGCACCCGGTAATGTATAAGTGGTTGGGGGTCACCACAACATGGGGAACTGTATTATGGGGTCGCGGCATTAGAAAGGTTGAGAACCACTGCGCTAGTTGGAGAGATAAATCATTTCTACGAGGCCACCAAAGATTGTAAAAACGATCACTGACCTGCTTTGAGTTATCAGTTGCCAAAATCTGTGAGAGTTGAGCTATAAATGAGTATTGGAGATTAATGGGCTTCTATAAATCCCTATGACTCGTCCTCATGTCAACCATTTTCCCAGGCAACGGTCCTCATAACCTTGGCCTTATTCCAAACCCTAGTGGAGGTAGCTTAAAGTGGTCTTTAGGTAGTCCCCTTCCTCCCCTATTTGTTTTTTCCTTACCACTGAATTGACAGCCCTCAGGTTTTAGGGTTAGGGACCACAAATGGGGGTTGGGTTTCTCACCTGTTTTACAAGCTATGAGACCGAGGAAGTACAATAGCTCTGTGCACATAATCAGAGTGTTTTTAACCATACCGTCTCCCTATCTCTCAGCCCCATATTTTGAGTTGCCTCTTCTTGTTAAAAACAATAATTAATGAGGCCTTCAGTGCAAACTCCTGGGTATGCATTGTGTTGGACCAGTATGTAACCATCTGGCCAGAGTGTAGAGCTAGCTTAGGAAACTGTGTGTAGAGCAAGTAGCATTTTAAGGGTTAAAGGGCTACCCCCTTAAGGGTAGCCTTCTGGGAAATGTAGTTTAGTTGTTACATGGTTATATCTGTGTTCTAATTGGCCACTGGGAAGGTCCTGTGGTTTATTACCAGATATCCTGTTATGTGCCAGGTTTTCTATTAGCTCTCTCCATGAATCCTAGCCATTATTCTTTTACCTATGAGATGGGTCCATATTACAACCCACATTCTGGAAGAACTTCTACAATAACTGTGAGTTAATGTCTTGAGGATGCCTGGAATAAAGTAATTTTGTACGACTTATCCATTGAGTTTATTCAGTGGAATCCAGCAACCTTTCTGCATGGGACAGGAAATGCATCTTATTTTGAACTACTATGTTAATCGGTTTGTGTTACTTTACCAAATGCCGAGAGTAGCCTGTACCACGAGGCAGAGGGCTAACACTACGGCTGCGACTCTGGCTCCTGTTTCTGCTCCTGGAAGACAACTGAAATAAAATACAAACCATGAAACAGATCTCAGTTAACCAGGGATCCTTTTAATGAGTAGACTTTGCAGAAGGGCAAGGAGACTATTGTGGAAGAAAAGACTCATTTTGTTTTAGTGTCTAGGCCAGGGGTAGGCAACCTTGGCTCTTTTATGACTCGTGGACTTCAACTCCCAGAATTCCGGAGCCAGCCATGCTGAGGGGAAAGGGAGGGGTTTCCAAGCTGAGCCATGCTGGCTCAGGAATTCTGGGAGTTGAAGTCCACAAGTCATAAAGCGGCCTAGGCCTAGGCCAGAGGTAGGCAACCTTGACTCTTTTATGACTCGTGGACTTCAACTCCCAGAATTCCTGAGCCAGCCACGCTGAGGGGAAAGGGAGAGGCTTCCAAGCTGAGCCATACTGGCTCAGGAATTCTGGGAGTTGAAGTCCACGAGTCATAAAGCGGCCTAGGCATAGGCCAGAGGTAGGCAACCTTGGCTCTTTTATGACTCATAGACTTCAACTCCCAGAATTCCTGAGCCAGCCACGCTGAGGGGAAAGGGAGAGGCTTCCAAGCTGAGCCATGCTGGCTCAGGAATTCTGGGAGTTGAAGTCCACGAGTCATAAAAGAGCCAAGGTGGCCTAGCCCTGGTCTAGCAGGAGTTGGCAAATCTTGACCATTTCCAGAAATGGCAACTTCGGTTTCCAGAAGGGTCCACAAAGTGGGATCGAAACAATCAAGATGACACCTTGGACTGAGAAATCAAAGCTCTGCCTATTTTTATGTGCTATCTTGACTTTTTCTGATCCTACTCTCTGGATAGCCCGACTTCCAGAGGTCCCCACCCAGATTGGCCATTGCTAACACCCTTGGGAATTGAGCACACATCTGGAAGCAGTGAAAGTCGGGAAGTAGCGTTCTAACACATTCCAGATTTCAATCCCAATCTTAGCATGCAAATGATCTGGGATTTCTCTCTTAGCAAGACGCTTTAAAATTTCAGCCTTCCATTTGAAATTCTAAATCAAGGGTCTTCAAACTTGCCCCTTTTATCACTTGTGGACTTCAACTCCCAGAACTCCTCAGCCAGCGTGCCTAGCTGAGGAATTCTGAGAGTTGAAGTCCACAAGTCATCAAAGGGCCAAGTTTGAAGACCCCTGCTCTATATCTATATACAGAGTATACCTATATATATATATCTCAGCCAGGGATAGGGAAGCAGCAAATACAGGCTTTCTGTATCTTTCTTTTGGCCTTTATTTGTCTATCCCCCTTCTATCCCATTTGCTCCTAATCAAGCCACAATATGGCAGTTTTTTGCAGCTCAGACACAACCGGTAATCTTCTCAGACCATTCTTCCCAAATTCTGCACCATAGTTCCCGATCACTTCCAGATCAGAAACCAAAACAAAGCGTAATGTACAGTAAAACCCAGAGTACTGCTGATTTAGACCCTGAAGGAAAGTTCCATAACACTTCTCTGGAGGTCCACAAAATGTTCACGGTTCCTAAGCCTTACCTCACGGTAGCTTTTGCACCCCCATTTCCCTCAAGAGGTAAGACCAGCTCCTGAGCATGTTTTAAGGTTTTAAGGCAGAACAAATCTTATCCCCTCTGTAATCCAATTGGCAAATTCTGCTTAACCACCACGGTTTGCTAAATAAGTCACAATTCACTGGATTCATAGATCATACCAAAGCAAAGGATATAAAACCAAATATCTGAGTTCAAGCAACACATTGAGCCAAAACCAAAGGGAACTGCGTTGCAGCTTAGCAAATAAGGCCTGAACTCAGCATATATTACACTTTTCCAAGCTGACACCCTCCAAATATACTGAATTTCCACCGCCAGGATTCCCAGCTCACATGGAATTCTGGGGTTTGTAGTCTATGTATGTCTGTCTACCTGAGGTGAGAGTGGTTAATGTGGAATTAGAGACTGGTTTATACCTGCAGGATCCCTTAATTTTATAAACAGAACATTTTAATAGCCATTGTTAATTCAGTTAATATTCATTTGTCTTTTGGTTCTGGGTTCGTCTTTGTTGGTATGTGTTTTTTGAAGGTACCTATCAGGATTATATAGTACAGGGAGTCCTCAAATTACGGCCACAATTGATCCCAACATTTCCGTTGTTACGTGAGACATTTGTTAAGTGAATTTTGTCCCATTTTACGACTTTTCTTGCCTCGGTTGTTAAGTGAATCACTGCAGTTGATAAGCTGGTAACCTGGTTGTTATAAGTGAATCTGGCTTCCCCATTGACTTTGCTTGTCAGAAGGTCACAAAATGGGACCCCATGACCTTGGCACACAGCAACGGTCATAAATATGAACCAGCTCCTAAGCATTTGAATTTAGATCACATGATCATGGGGAGGCTGGAAAGGTCATAACTATGAAAAACGGTCATAAGTCACTTTTTTCAGTGCCACTGTTGTAAGTCGAGGACAACCTGTATACACACACACATGGTAAGTGGGGAGATGAAAGTAGACTTTTCTTGTTAGTTGTGACTTCTTGTTAGTTTCTTGTTAGTTGTGAAGTCATGTCCGACCCATCGTGACCCCATGGACAATGTTCCTCCAGGCCTTCCTGTCCTCTACCATCTTCTGGACTCCGTTTAAGCTCACGCCTACTGCTTCAGTGACTCCATCCAGCCACCTCATTCTCTGTCGTCCCATTCTTCTATTGCCCTCAATCTTTCCCAGCATTAGGCCCTTCTCCAGGGAGTCCTTCCTTCTCATTTGGTGGCCAAAGTATTTGAGTTTCAACTTCAGGATCTGGCCTTCTAAAGAGCAGTCAGGGTTGATCTCCTCTAGGACTGACCGCTTTGATCGCCTTGCAGTCCAGGGGACTCGCAGGAGTCTTCTCCAGCACCATAGTTCAAAGGCCTCACTTCTTTGTCGCTCAGCCTTTCTTATGGTCCAACTTTCACAGCCATACATTGCAACTGGGAAAACCATGGCCTTGACTAGACATACTTTTGCTGGCAGGGTGATGTCTCTGCTTTTGAGTATGCTGTCTAGATTTGCCATAACTTTCCTCCCCAGGAGCAAGTGGAAAGTAGACTAGAAAGGAGGAAAGTTGCATTGCTGGGATTTCTGTGTGAGTTCTAATCTTTTTCAGTCTAACTCTTCCTTTTTGTCACTATGCGATTGTCTTAAATCCTAGATTTCCTTTGGAGCAAATACAGTTAAACAATACATTTGGTATCATAACTGTAAACCATCGTGACTTTTTTTGATCATCCCTTTCAGAATCTCCTATTTTAATACCACCTGTGGCACGTGGCCCCCAAAGGAGAGCTCTCTGTTTAAAAAATTTTAAAAGCCTACCAGAGCACCTCTTTTAGTTACAGCTTCTCCCTTCACAACCACTGAATCCTCTTCCATCAGAGCTGGCCAGACATGGTAAGCCACCAGTGGAGCTGTGAAATCAGAGTCATAGCTGCGACGGTATCTAATCAGACACAAAAGAAAAATCAGTTACAACTGAGGTTGCATCACCCGTCCATCTCGTCTTTCCCCGGGGCACTCAGAACAATTATCTTATTTACTCTGGTATGTGGACTAAAGGAACAGCAACAGATGATGCTTGCCCCAAAGATGCTTTTTCATGAGGCAACTGAACTGTCTTGTTTTTTCTTTGAAGACGCTTCGCTTCTCATCCAAGAAGCTTCGTGAAAAAGCATCTTTGGAACAACTATGAACCCGGATGACTGAGAATCTCCATAGACATCAGATGAGGCTTGCAATAAAATGTCGAGTCTCTTCATGTATGTATGCAAGCACTAAGGGCATAAAGAATAGCTTGATGGAGAGGGGAAAGAGCTGCTAACAAGATAGTGATCAGATAAGTGGAGCTTAAGCCTGGGCCAAAGCAATAACTTGATAAACATCTCGGACAAGTTCACATGAAGACTCTGTTCCTATAGCTGTTACAATGAAAGTAATTCAGACATATATTTTTATTGGCTTCTTAGTTTGGTCTATCTTCTAGACCAGTGGTTCTCAACCTTTCTAATGCCGCGACCCCATAATACAGTTCCCCATGTTGTGGTGACCCCCAACCACTTATACATCACCGGGTGACAGGGGCGTGGCCAAAGGGGGGAAAAAATGGCAGACAGGCTTGTTTGGCGACTCCTGTGAAATGGTCGTTCGACCCCAAATGGGGTCCCGACCCACAGGTTGAGAACCACTGTTCTAGACTGACGACAAGTAAAAAACGTAGAATTATGGCATGCCAAAATTGTATGTTCTTGGTGCGATAACATTCTCTAGATAACATGCAAAAGTAACAGAATAACAGAGTGGGGAGACCTTGTAGATATCCTTTCAGACAAATGGGTGTCCAAACTCTTCTTAAAGTTGTGGGGTACCCACAACTTCTGAAGGCAAACCATTCCACTAGTTAATTGTTCTGTCAGGAAATTTTTCCTTAATTCTAGCTTGGTTCCTTCCTTGATTAGTTTCCACCCATTGTTTCTTGTCCTGCCTTCTGGTGCTTTGGAGTCTAGGTTGACCCTCTCTTCTTTGTGGCAGTCCCTCAAATATTGGAAAACTGCTATCATGTCACTCCTGGTCCTTCTTTTCACTAGACTAGACGTACCCAATTCCCACCACCGTTCGTCATATGTTTTAGCCTCCAGCCCCCTAATCATCTTTGTTGTTCTTTTTTGCACTCTTTTTAGAGTCTCAACATCTTTTTTATATTGTGGCGACCAAAACGGGATGTAATATTCCAAGCGAGGTCTTACCAAGGCCTTATAAAGTGGTATTAACATTTCACATGATAAAGTAGAGTAGAGTAGAGTAGAGTAGGGTAGGGTAGGGTGGGGTGGGGTGGGGTGGGGTGGGGTGGAGTGGAGTGGAGTGGAGTGGAATGGAATGGAATGGAATGGAATGGAATAGAATAGAATAGAATAGAATAGAATAGAATAGAATAGAATAGAATAGAATAGAATAGAATAGAATAGAATAGAATAGAATAGGAATACCTGGAATGGAATGGAATGGAATGGAATAGAATAGAATAGAATAGAATAGAATAGAATAGAATAGAATAGAATAGAATAGAATAGAATAGAATAGAATAGAATAGAATAGAATAGGAATACCTTGAATGGAATAGAATAGAATAGAATAGAATAGAATAGAATAGAATAGAATAGAATAGAATAGAATAGAATAGAATAGAATAGAATAGAATAGGAATACCTGGAATGGAATGGAATGGAATAGAATAGAATAGAATAGAATAGAATAGAATAGAATAGAATAGAATAGAATAGAATAGAATAGAATAGAATAGAAACTTCATTGTCACTTTAAATGTACACTAATCAGCATACATTAAAAATGAAATTTCATTGCCTTCAGCTCTCAAAAAATGATCTTGATTCTATCCCTCTGTTAATGCAGCCTAGGACTGCATTGGCCTTTTTGGCAGCTGCAGCACACGGGCGGCTCATCTTTCAGTGATTGTCCACTAGGACTTCAAAATTCCTCTTCCTGTTACTACTATTGAGTCAGGTTCCACCTATTCTATAGCTATACCTTTGGGGGGGGGGGCTTTGCCTAAGTGTAAAACCTTATTGTTCTCACCACTGAATTTCAGTTTGTTAGACAGGGCACAGTGTTCAAGTCTGTCGAGATCCTTCTGGATCTTGAACCTGTCTTCCGGGGTGTTGGCTATTCCTGCCAATGTTGTCTGCAAATTTGATGAGTTCTTCTTGTTCCCTCACCTAAATTACTTCTGAGGCTGTTGAAGAATACTGGGCCTAAAACGGAACCTCGCAGTACCCCACTGCATACTTCCTTCCTTGTAGATGCAGTTCCATTAAGGCAGTGGTTCTCAACCTATGGGTCGGGACCCCATTTGGGGTCGAACGACCATTTCACGGGGGTCGCCAAACAACGCAGTCCGCCATTTTCCCCCCTTTTCCTTAGCTGTGCTACTCCCTTTTATTCTATTGGCTTTTGAAAGCCAATAGAAGAGACTCGCTTGAATAGAGTCTAATTCTATTGGCTTTCAAAAGCCAATTGGAATTGTCCAGGCTGTCTCTGCCCTGCTGAGCCCGCCAAAAGTCCCATTCTGCAAACGGTGCTGCACCAGTTGAGTAGTCCTCGACTTACGACCGGTTGAGTAGTCCTCGACTTACGACCAGTTGGGAGGTCGCGGCATTAAAAAGGTTGAGAACCACTGCATTAAGGTGTGATGTGTTGAGTCTTCTTCTCCATTCAGGGAGACAAATGTGTCTCCGCATCTTTTTGTTGCTTTTTTGTTTTAGATTAGGAATGCAAAACACGCATACTTTGTTGCCCTTACTTGTACTCGCTGAACAGCTCTGCGTCTGTACCAAAAGCAACATCCAGGGGAGGATCAAGAGTCTGCATGGAAAAAGCTATCCGGCACAACTCTCGTATTAAGCTACTAATCATGATGAAATCAACTCCTGGAACAGAAATCTTAGGACTGATATTCAGTGCACGGATAACTTCCTGAAAGTATATGAAATACGTGAGGTTATTTCCTTGGAAATTACAAAAAATAAAAACAAATGCAGATAGGCCATTTGAAACTGGAACACAAAATGACAGGATGACCGGGTTAAGACTAAGTGGCTTCCTAAACGGGTTTTTTTTTTATTATTATTTTCAAAATCAAGTCCTCAACATACGGGCATCTATCACAAATTTTTTTTTTTTGATATTTTATATTTTTTTCTTTTTCCGTCTTTTATTTTCTTTCCTCTCTTTTTCTTTTATCTTTTATCTTTCTTTCTTTTTCTTCTTCTTTCTCTCTCTCTTTCCTCTCTTTTTTAAGTATTTTTTTAATGCTTATATCATAAATATTTTATTATTAATTATTTTATAAGTTGTGAAAAATTGTTTAGGTTTTTTTTTTAAAAAAAATTTAAATGGGCCTATATTCAGTTCTGGGAAGCTCGGGGAAGGGGGAGGGAGGGGTGGGTTTGGGAGGGATTGGGCGAGGGTTGTTTTGTTTTGTTTTTGTTGTTTATTTGTAAAACTTTTAAAAATTTTCAATAAAAAAAAAAAACCACGTTGTAATACTTTCCATTTAACTTTTAACTAAATGAGTGAAATGGTTTCCTACGTGGAACTTCACTAAAATTTTATTTTGGGGATTGACTTAAAGATTTCCTATTGCCACAGCTATACAGCTGAAGAGGCGATGAAGTCAGACATAGTTAGGAACGGAGATGTTTTCAGAGGTGTCTGAAGGGTCAAAAAAGGCAAGATGGCAGCCGTGAATTGAAGTCCCGCCCCCTTTCTAATACATCATGAATAAAGGGGTGGGGCTTCAATCACTTGGTTATGGCTGCCATCCTCTTTTGACCCTCCTCTTCCAAATACTCGTGGCACACAAACCGTATTTTATTAGAAGAAAAGTATAATCGTTGTTATTTAAGCCTCAGCCTCAAAGAGCCATATAATACTGAATGTCATTATGGAATGTATCGGCAGGCAACACTGATAACAGAATTAACCTTGAGGTCCTGTTAAGTAGTACTTTATTACCTGCCTAAGACTAGAATAGAATAGAATACATGGAATGGAATGGAATGGAATAGAATTTCGAGGCGTACGGATCCCAAGGATCTCGTTGCTCTAACATTTAGACTTGGTGGATTTGTCAAGTTCTCATGACACCTTTGAGATATAATCGCTGGTGAATACTTCTTCCTCAGAAACCAGGGGTAGGCAACCTTGGCTCTTTTATGACTCGTGGACTTCAACTCCCAGAATTCCTGAGCCAGCATGGCTCAGCTTGGAAACCTCTCCCTTTCCCCTCAGCATGGCTGGCTCAGGAATTCTGGGAGTTGAAGTCATAAAAGAGCCGAGGTTGCCTACCCCTGTCATAGACCAAGCTGATGGTCAGTCTAAGGAACCATTTTGTTAAGTCTCCCGCCTGCCACAACTCCTCCACTGAGTTGCTGCACTTCAGGGGTGTCAAACTGGCGGCCCTCGGGGCCCGTTGGCGTCACGCACAGGTCACGCCCACCCCGGCTCCACAAAGGCAAAAAAAAAAAAAAAGGCACGATACGTCACAATACATCACCTGACACAATCGACCTTGACACCCGTGCTGTACTTCAGCTCTCCTTTGCTTATAAAAGAGCTCTGAGGAATGAAGCTGGAGGGAATCTAGCCTAAATGGAAGAACGTTCTGGAGAAGATGATGGGACAATGTGTCTAAAGTCTTGGATTAAAGATTGTACGCAATCTGGATCCCTTTAGATTGGTTTTAAACGTAACCCAAGACAGAAAAAAATATTAGTTACTTTTGTGGAAAATCCTTTGGTCACTTTGAAGTTGGGTAAGACAGGCCCTGATGTTTTTCAACCTCTAAATGGAACTGCTGGACAAGGAAAACCGTTAGTTGGCTAATGGATATAACAACGTTAATGATGTCCAGTGACATAATTCTAGCATTTAGATCAGGGATCTTCAAACTTGGCCCTTTTATGACTGGTGGACTTCAACTCCCAGAATTCCTCAGCCAGGAACGCTGGCTGAGGAATTCTGGGAGTTGAAGTCCACAAGTCATAAAAGGGCCAAGTTTGAAGACCCCTGGTTTAGAGGCTTGGTCAGGATCCATAGTTTTTAGTTAATCAGCAGGTGGAGGCCATGGGTGGGAGAGATTTTGTCAGCCTTGTTCTGGTACACCTGTTGTGGCTCTTCTTGGAAAAAATATCCCGGCAACAATGACTTGTGCTCTCGACAATAAGGTTGGAATACTGTAAAATGGCCTGCATGGAATTGTCTTTGTAGATTACTAGGAAGCTGCAGTTTATGAAAGCAGCAGTGTTTCATTAGCAATATCACTTTGTCCCAGACTTACACTGACGCTGGACTGAACATCGTAGAGATCTTCCTGACGAATTATATAGTCCATCACCATATCTTCAAGTGGTTCAGGCCCTGAATAACTGAGGGACAATGTCTTTCTAACACGCATTTTGAACTGTCTGAAGGCCTTCTTTGCTGCATAGAAGGACTCCTGTCAACAAAAGAAGAGCAAATTTAGATGCCCAGACAAGGCAGATAACCGTATCTTATGATAAAATAGCTTATCCAGTTGTCAATCTGTGCTATTTTAAAGTCTGCTAAACTGATGCAATGCTTTAAAAATTCTAATTCATAATATTTTAGAAAAATGAACAAAAACATATTCAAATCTACAGAATGATGCAAACAGGATTAGTGGCTGCAAAATACCAAGTATAGATGGTATGTTATATACTGTATATGGAGAAAGAATAAGGATAGTCTTTATATTTACAATGAATGATCTATATTAAAGTTAATTAAACTAAAATAATCTAATTAACAAAAGGTAAGCACAATGCATGCTCTTGTTTTTTCAAAATCTTCTAAAGCAGGGGTGTAAAACTCAATTTCATTGAGGGCCACATCAGCATTGCGGTTGCCCTCAGGGGGTCGTGTGGGTGTGGCCAGGGTGGGTGTGGCCTACTGGGTGGGCGTGGATGGAGTGGGTATGGCCTAATGGGTGGGTGTGGCCAGCTCTACACCGTTTGCGTCAAGGGCGCCTGTGGGGGCCTGGGCAGGAGTGGGACAGATCTGAGGGTCTCTGGCAGAAGGGGGTGGGACCAGGGCAAGTGCCAAGGCATGGTCCACTGGAGGAGCCTCACTGTTCCTCTCAGGCTATGCAGGGGGGGCCTGGATGGTGGTGCGGGCTGCCCGGAGCCCTGGGAAGTAGAGGTCAAATACCCAGCCTGGCCCTTGAGCACCCACGGCACCAAGCCCAGCCCCACTTCCTCAAGGCTGCTGCTCAAGGTTCTCCTGCTTCCTCGTTGTTTCCAGACAGCCTTGTGCAGCTAAGACTGAATGCGTTTCAGCATAGATGGCCACCACAAAATTGCACATTGGCTCCCAGCCAGCCTGGGCCAGGACCAAGGCAGAGGGGGCCGTTCTCTCACTGTTTCCAGGATGGCTTCGCGGGCCACATGAAACCACTTCGCGGGCCGCATCCGGCCCCCGGGCCTTGTGTTTGACATGTCTGTTCTAAAGATAAAATATGTGTCTAGGTTACAAAAATTTGGAGAACCACTAGATGGCAGTACATATACAAAAATGCTCCTTCCTGCCTGCTAATGGCCATCTTGAGTTTTGCAGCCCAAATACTGGTACTACTATGTTTCCCCGAAAACAAGTCCCGGTATTTTTATTATTGATCATCGCACAGTCAGCCAGATGTTCAGACTGGATTTGGCATTTTGTCTACCTATCGAGTCCTTACCCAGGACCTGGGATCGGCAGATGTGGATGTTTGATGGTATTACAGGTATCGTCGCAGGATGGAAGCAGTTCCTAGTAAGGCCGTCTTTTGCAATTGACTAATGGCGAATTTGTCAATGCCAATGGTGTTCAAGTGGTGCTCCAGTTGTTTTGGAATTGCACCCAAGGCGCCTATGACTATTGGTACTATCCTTGCTTGCTTTTCCCACAGTCTTTCTATTTCTATTTGTAGGTCTCTGTATTTTGTTACCTTTGCCAGTTCCTCCTTCTCCTTCTCCTTCTTCTTCTTATTATTATTTGCCTCCAAAAGAGGCGCCAGGTCTTATTTTGGGGGGGTTCTTTTCCGCTCACCTTGCAGCAGCACCAATAGCCCTGCCCAGCTGGCCCTCTTCTTCTGCAGCTGAAGGAGTAATTTCATTCTGCAGCTGAGAATGGAGCTCCACCTGCATTTCACAGTCAGAGGCCTTCTGGAAAGGCCTCTGCAGCCAAGAACTGAGTTACGGATTGAATCCATAGCTCGGTACTCGGCTGTAGAAACCTTCCGGAAAGGCCTCTGCGAAATGCAGGCCCAGCTCCATTCTCAGCTGCAGAATGAAGCTTCTCCTTCCGGTGAGGAAAGAGTCAATCCATGGGAGGCCTGGCTGCAAACGTAATCTCCACCCCACCACCCCTGCCCTAGCTTTATTTTTAGGCGCCTCGCCCTAAAACTAAAGCTTATTTTTGGGGTAGGGCTTATATTAGGCCCACCCCCAAAAATCAAGCTACGGCTTATTTTGGGGGTAAGTCTTACTTTTGTGGAAACCCAGTATATGGTATTCCGATTGCAGTAGTGTACAGTTTGTAATGAACATCTCCAAGCATGCACACTAGTTATTCTTTTTAGTAGCCAATGCCAACTATTTGTTGTTGTTTTTTAAGAGCTTGTTTCAGAGATTTCATGAAGCTGCTAATGATTTCTGAGTTAACTAATCAGAGGAACAAACCACGGATCTTCTTTTAAGGGCACAAAAAATACAAGTTGCTAAAATAAACTCCGAAAGAGCCAGCAGTGGCCATTTATAAGTCATCTGGTGGGAGGCTTCGTGTGCAAATGAACTCGTTCCTCATCAAACATCTCTAAGCATATTGTTGAACCAATGTCAGCATTTCAGATTTCAGTAATGAGACCAGGAGTTCCAACACAAAATGGAATGGAAGAGGAGAGGAGAGGAGAGGGGGAAGGCGAAAGGGAAGGGAACAAGGGAGGAGAGGAGAATAAAATTTTTATTGTCTCTTTAAAGGTACACTAATTAGCATTAGCATTAAAATAAAATTGCATTCAGCTCTCAAAAAAAATCCTTATGCATATACCCACATACACACACATATTATGACACAAAGAAACATCAGTCTAGTTCGACTGTGTGTGTGTGTGTGTGTGTGTGTGTGTGTGTGTATACGTACACACACCATAAAATAATCTGAACACCAGGATAATACTAAAAACAAAACTGTTTAATTAAAAGCTGAGCCTTTCGTCGGTCAACACTACCGACATCATCAGAGCGTGATGCAAGATTGCTGGGAGTCCTTCTTATGCTGCCGGGCGACTTTGCGCTCGGCTCCTTGACCTAGTTACCGATCCATCCGTTCTCTCTCTGGTAACTAGGTCAAGGAGCTGAGCACAAAGTCGCCCGCCAGCATAAGGACTCCCAGCAATCTTGCATCACGCTCTGATGATGTCGGTAGTGTTGACCGATGAAAGGCTCAGCTTTTAATTAAATAGTTTTGTTTTTAGTATTATTCTGGTGTTTGGATTATTTACCCAGGATTCACATTTTTAGCATAATTAGAGACCATACACACACACACACACACACACACACACACACAGAGAGAGAGAGAGAGAGAGAGAGAGAGAGAGAGAGAGAGAGAGAGAGAGAGAGAGAGAGAGAGCTGCCTAACATGCAAGCTGCCCAGGTTCGAATCTCAGAAGGGTATGGCTAGCTAATGAGAGCTAAATAGCTCGAAATAGCTATACTAGCCTTCCTTTAACTCTTTGTCAGCAATATATATGGCAAAAAAAAAAAAAGAATCCTGCGAACTTGGAAGATGGGTGGCATAAGGAACAAAGCTGTTACAGAATCTAGTACTTCTGCTATAAATACTCTGAAACCTCCTCCCAGAGGGAAGCAACAGAAACAGTGAAGTGGTTGTGTGAGGTCTCTAACAAGGCTTTGAGCTCTAAGCACCTAGCACTTATAAGCAGCATCCTGAATAACGGGAAGCGAGCTTCCTATAATTTTCTTGGCTGTCCTTACCACTCTCTGTATGGACCTTCTATCTGAGGCACTGCTGTCACCAAACCAGACAGTGATGCCGTTTGTTAAGACGCTCTCAATCGTGCCTCTGTAGAAAGTGGCCAGGACAGAAGGAGGAAGATATGCTCTCCTCATCCGACACAAGAAATGCAGACGCTGGTTTGCAGGCTTCACTAAAGATACCGTATGAAGCAAACAAATCAGATCGTTAGTCACCTGTGCCCCCAGATACTTAATACTATTGACCACCTCAAACGTTTCTGAGCAGATTATGATCCGTTTGCACTTATCAAATTAACGAGCATGGTATTAAATAAAATATTTGCGTATCATACCACAACAGCTGTATAGATTATTCTCTGCACCGTTTCCAGATCATCTGTGTAGCTCCGCAAGAGGGTTTGAGCGTTTAGGCGTTCCTGAGAATAAGCGTTGTTGAAACGTTCCACAAGACGAGCATGGCGTAAAGCATGGTTAAGTCTTCCCCGGCTGGGCGAAAAATTTTGTACTGAAAGTGGACTAGGAGATCTGCTTCGGGCAAGCCTTGGAGAAGAAGATCGACTTCGGGCAAGTCTGAAACAGATTTGCCAAATGGCAGGAAGGCAAAAATCTTTACCACTACAAATACTTTGCTCCAAATAGTTAAAAAAAATGGAATATGATATTATTGTTTCTCTTGTTCTTAGGAAAACACCTGCTTATGATTGCTTATAAAGTTATGTTAAAGGTCTAGTGTTCTACATTTTTTATCAGAATGAGGCACTTTACAGCTTTTAAGTCTAGTTCACTCTGATACATCCAATTAGTTTCTTGAATGTTCCCAAATGCAAGAAACGTTTAATAATTTTTTTAAAAAATTATGTTTCAGCCGATACAATTCTTTCTCTTTGGGGGGAAGATGTTCCATATTGAATTGACAGGCAGAATTGGAGATTTAATGGAGATTTATGGTCTCTTTCCCCAGATCAAGGAAATATAATAATCCCCAGAGCCGCTCTCCATGGTGAGAGGGGCCCCGTATAAATAAATAAATAATTATAATGAGCTTTTCAGAGCATGGGAAACTGGATAGTGATTGGCAAAATATTCAAGCACAGAGCATCTGAACGTTCTTTCTTTATCCAGAAAACATGTAACCATTTCTCCAGTCCATCACAGATAGAAGACCAAGAATCTCTAATGAACGTAGAAATAGATCTACTTAAAGAAGACCCCATGAGAAAAGAAGCATGCTTTTTGGTTGTCATATATGTATATGTATATGTATATGTATATATGTAGGTATTTGGTTATTCGGGTTTTCTCCCGCATCAGATTGGAAGTGTCTTGGTGACGTTTCGACGAAGTCTCATTCGTCATCTTCACACTGGTGTTCTTGGCTTCGTGCTTCTAGGAGCTCCTAGAAGCACGAAGCCAAAAACACCAGCCTGAAGATGACGAATGAGACTTTGTCGAAACGTCGCCAAGACACTTTCAATTTGACGCTGGAGAAAACCCGAATAATCAAAGACCTACATACAAACACCCGCAAAAACCTCAGAAAACAAATATATATATATATATATATATATATATATATATATATATATATATATATATATATATATATAAAGTTTTATTGAGTTTTATAGGGCTAGGGAAAGGGTGGGGTCAGTATGGGAGTTAGGGTTCAGGATGGGAATCAGGGTTAGGGTTGGGACAGGGATGGAACAACAATGGGGTTACCCCCCATTAACATTTTCAAGTTTTAGCAAACAGGCTATTGTCCGGGTACATATGTTCAGTAGGATTAATTAATATACTAGTAAGTAGCTATAGTAAATATGAGAAATGATAATCATAAACAGTGTCAGTTAATCAAAACGTATCCTTCATCTTACTAAAACATATTCACAATAAAGTATCACATTCATTTCTCACTAGTTCGTTTTGCTAACCATTGATAAAAATTATCCCATGTTTTAAAGTAAACTGAGTTGTCTTTCTCTTTAATCTCTAAAGTTAATCTGTTCATTTCTGCACATTCCAGAATTTTCTTAATTATAATCTCTTCAGATGGTAAATTTTCATTTTTCCAGTATTGGGCAAATGCTATTCTTGCTGCTGTCAATATATGCAATATTAAATACTCATTCTCCTTCTCATATTTGGCTCATAGTATTCCTAACAGAAACAATTCTGGTTTAAATTCTATCTGTATTTTAGTCATCTTTTCCAACCATGTATGAATCTTAAGCCAGATTTTTTTCGCACTGGGGCACACCCACCAGATATGATAGTAGGTACCTTCAGAGCTTTTTACCTGCTTTGAAGAAGAGACTTCTCAGCCCGAAGAATAGCAATTTCATCGTTCAACGTCTGAAGCCGATTCTCGTACTCATCCAGCTGTTCTAGTTTCTCCAAAGTGCAATCTGATTTTACCCGAGAAGCCTTTAGGCTTAACCACACACACACACAAAAAAAATCAGATAAAATGAAATATTGAAATTATGCTCTGCCTTCTGTATCACATTAACATCTACATGGAAAGCTAAAAAGTGGTAAGCAGGAGGAATTCAAGAGCTTCCACTCACAAAGGACAATTACCCTCACCATTTAAAGTAAACCTTAACTTTTTAAAAAAACTCTTAGCCACTTGAAAGCCACATAGAACTTTCTGCATTCTATTATTAGCTGTAAGACTACAAATACACATTGAGGAATATTGTGGTCTTTATAGAGGTATAAAAAAAATCCGCGCAGGGTTCCAATCTACTTCAGTTCCCAAAGTGGTAAGTTAAAGCAGTTAGTCTTTTTTATTGAAAAAGTTTTATTGACAATTAACAAAAAAAATTTAAACCCACAAACCCACCCACCCTCACCCCCCTACCCCCCCCACTTCCCAGAGCCGAGTACAGGGTTATTACAAACATATTAAACAAAATCTAATTAAATTTAACAAATTATACAATAACTAAATTCATACTTAACCCTTAACTCCCTTTAAACCTTAATATCATAATATTATAAACAAATCCATTTTAAAACAATTATTATAAAGAACCATAATAATAGTAAGTAAACTAAATAATTTCCATTATAAAATGCTATTAATAATAATTTTTATTTAAAATTTAGTCATAAAATAAATGGAACTTTTTAGTTCCATATTTAATCTGAATATAATCTATCCATCTTCTCCATACCATAATATATCTTTCTTGTGTATGATCCTTTAAATAAGCAGAAATTTTAGCCATTTCTGCTAAATTAGAAACCTTAATTGTCCATTCTTCTATTGTAGGCAACGAATCTTTCTTCCAATATTGACCTACCAATAGCCTTGCTGCTGTTACTAGATTCAACATTAAAATAGTTTCTTTAACATCAAAATCCTCAAAAATCCCTAGTAAAAATAGTTGAGGAGTAAACTTTATCTTCCTTTTAAAAATCTTTTGAATGTTCCACCAAATCATAATCCAAAAAACCTTAATATTTTTACAAGTCCGCCAAACGTGAAAATAAGTTGCGTCAGAACTACCGCATCTCCAACATTTAGGCTGTAAATTTAAAACAGCTAGTCTTGTCGACTCAAAAGATACTATCCCTTTCAATACTAGAGCCCTCCTACTCCTATCTGCCCAGTCCTGCTCATTTGCATAAATGTGTGTTTCCTGTTTTCCTTGGTTTTAATTTCCAGCCCACTCCTCTTTATACATAGGCCTTACCTTCCAATCCAATAAAGGTTCCCATAGAGCAGGGGTGTCAAACTCAATTTCATTAAGGGCCGCATCAGCATTGCCCTCGGGGGGGGGGGGCTGGGTGGGTGTGGCCAGGGTGGGTGCAGCCTATTGGGTGGGTGTGGATGTGGCCTACTGGGTGGGCGTGGTCAGCTCTACATCTGTGGGGGCCTGGGCAGGAGTGGGACAGATCTGAGGGTCTCTGGCAGAAGGGTGGGACCAGGACAAGGCCCAAGGCATGGTCCACTGGAGGAGCCTCACTGTTCCTCTCAGGCCATGTGGGGGGGGGGCTGGATGATAGTGCGGGCTGCCCGGAGCCCTGGGCAGCAGAGGTCAAATGCCAAGCCTGGCCCTTGAGCACCCACGGCACCAAGCCCAGCATCACTTTCCCACGGGGGCCCAGCTGCACTTACTTCCTACTCCACCTGCACTTACCTCCTCCAAGAGGCTGAGCCAGGTGGTGCGAATCCGAAAAGAAGCATGACGCCGCCCAGCCCCCAGCCTGCCCAGTCTCGGCAGGCAGCGGGGCACTCTCCTCACAATGCCGAGAGGTTGATCCGGGCGGTGCGAAGCTCACCAGCTTTGCACCTTGCTGCCTGCCTGCTGAAACTGGGCAGGCTGAGGGCTAGGCAGCATTGCACTTCTCATCAGATTCGTGCCACCCGGCTCAGCCTCTTGGCGCTGTGAGGAGAACGCCCCGCTGCCTGCCGAAGCCCCTCCCCCGGACCCCATCAAGCCAGATATGTGAAGCAGACCAGGGCCATTTGTTGGCCACTTCCAGGCAATGGTGCATTTCTTCATTTCTCACAAAGGGTGACACCTCCCCAGCATGCACCCAGGGGGTGGGACCGATGTGGCAGGGGCTGGTTCCTCACTGTTTCCGGACAGCCTTGTGGAGCTAAGACTGAATGCGTTTCAGCATAGATGGCCACCACAAAATTGTACATTGGCTCCCTCCCGGCCGGCCTCGGGGGCCGTTCCCTCACTGTTTCCAGGATGGCTTTGCGGGCCACATGAAACCACTTCGCGGGCCGCATCCGGCCCCCGGGCCTTGTGTTTGACATGTCTACCATAGAGGACAGGGAGCCTCTATTCCTCTCTTATCGATCATATGAAGCTCCGTATAAGTAGCTTCTCCACTGATTTCAAATGGAATGGGATGCTTTATATGACGTAGGATGGGAACATATGTATAGACTGTAGCCAGACAGTGGCTAAAGACCCCACAGCACACCTGGTGAAACTGTGCATTTTAGAATTCCTTTCAAGTGCGTGACAATAGTGGCCTTGGGGCTTATTATTTTACAATTGGCTATTATTAAGCTATGCTTATGCTCGTTGCCTCTCATTCTGCAGCATCAACACACAAAAACCCAAAACATTTAGGTTGCAATCTTAAATAAGCCTAACTAGAAAATAAATCTGAATGAGCACAGTGGGAATAAGCACAAGATTCTGGATATAAGTTTGATTACGTTATTAAAAATCAACACAAGGCATTTAAAAAAAAATCATACTCTTGTTTAATTGCACTGTCCTGCAAACAAGTTTTAACTTTCCACATGTCTTTTGCTGATTCTTCTCTACCCACTTGAAGTCAACTAACCATTGACTATAAAAATTAAAAAGTAAATATAATACTGAGTAAATAAAATACTGCACACATCACACAAGCAGACAGGTGAAATTGTTCAGAAGATTCAGTACAACGGCCGCTAAAATCACAGTGTGGAATATCATGAACAGAATGTTGTCAAAACTTTCAGCCTGCAATCAGCTCCTTGACAACTCACACCCCAATAAACTCTAACCGTAACCTCTAAAAAATTTGCAAGTCATAAATATCTGAAGATATATAATAGAAAAATGATCAGAGCTCTCTAAGACAATAACCTATTTAATTTCATTCAAGCGGTATACAGGGTATTTTTATATGTAAAAAATACAGCACCGCCATCTTTGGAATTAAGCGCTTCATAAGTAAGGCCAGTCTAATAGTACAAGATAAAGTCTCGCTCAGTTTTTTGCTTAACTTCCTGAAAATTATATAGTATGAAATTACAGGGGAGGGCAGTAACATTCTTAGGCAGGGGTCTTCAAATTTGGCCCTTTTATGACTAGTGGACTTCAACTCCCAGAATTCCTCAGCCAGCGTACCTGCCTGAGGAATTCTGGGAGTTGAAGTCCACAAGTCATAAAAGGGCCAAGTCTGAAGACCCCCAGTTCTTAGGCATAAGCAGAGGCAATGTGATCCAGGTTTTACCATAAATGGGGTGGCTCTCAGATTTGCCTACAGAAGAGGCCATAGAAGAAAGCTGGCTATCATACTCACTTCCGTCCTATTAGGAACCCAAACCTTGTAAAAAAAAAATATTCCTTCAACAATCAGAAGAGCCTTGTTAAGCCAAGTCAACACCTGTAAAGCTTTTGGCCTAACATGGAGAGAATCTGATCTCGAGAATTAGGCAGAAACATCACCTTCCACGAATAAGATTATTATTATTTTTCTCAAAATCTCTTTCCCCCTCAATCTCCATGCTTTGTTCTACTCAAAACGATCTACTTATCTTTGAGGGCTAGTAGGTTTGGCAGTTATGGGAGAGCAGAGGCAAGGAAGTTAATTTTGCCCATCTCCTTCTGTAGGCAGTTATAGGAACCCAAATGCTAATAACAGCATAAAAATCATCATAAGCAAATCTCAGCAGTTTAGATGGACAGAGCTCCCATCATCCATTTCCATGGGCAATACTGGCTAAGTCAGGGGTAGGCATCCTTGGCTCTTTTATGACTCATGGACTTCAGTTCCCAGAATTCCTGAGCCAGCATGGCTCAGCTTGGAAACCTCTCCCTTTCCCCTCAGCAGGGCTGGCTCGGGAATTCTGGGAGTTGAAGTCCTCGAGTCATAAAAGAGCCAAGGTTGCCTACCTCTGGCCTAGGCCTAGGCCACTTTATGACTCGTGGACTTCAACTCCCAGAATTCCTGAGTCAGCATGGCTCAGCTTGGAAACCTCTCCCTTTCCCCTCAGCATGGCTGGCTCGGGAATTCTGGGAGTTGAAGTCCACGGGTCATAAAAGAGCCAAGGTTGCCTACCCCTGGGCTAAAGATATTCGGTGGGCTTCTCTGGCTGTGGATGGGACTTAATATCCCCAGGGCCACTCCAACATTTTAACCATTGCTCTGTGCTGAAATGGTTCAAACATGGTCAATTTGCAATGCCAGATACCATCAGAAACATTCAAAGTTCTCACGTTGTGTGAACTATAAGCCCCGCTTTAAAAAAAAAGAGGCCTAAAATTTGATATTTTTCACTTCAATCACGTGAATTTATTCAGCTAATACTCATAGTTTAGCTCAGCAATGATAAGCCTATCCGTAGTGTGGCCATTTATCTTAGAATCCAAGCTTGGTATTGGCATTTCCAATTGTAAATTTTATCTACGGTGTCTATGATTCACATACCTTTACTTTTAAAAAATATGTGCTGCTTTCTGTTATGATATGTCCACCAACTTTTATTCGTAACTGCTGCTTTCACTGTTAAAATTACAAAGAGGCCTTTTGAAGTTGTTGTGATGTTACAAGTTATGTTACATTTCTTTGAGTTTAGTAGTCAGAGGAAAAATTAAGCCACCTTGCCGTCTGAAAAAAGTTTAGGCCATCTACTGTCCATGTGATGTTTTAAACTTCAACCCCCCATCAGTCTCAGCCAGCTTAGCCAATGATAAAGGATTGTGGAACTTGTAGTCCAGCTATGGAGAGGATCTGTGTCCTTATTAATAGAGCAGAGCAGCTGAATTACAAAAACCACGCCATGTGTTTGCCAGGAAAAGGATGTTTAGAAATGCAACACAGAAGGATCCAACTGTTAGGCATGTTAGAATAAATAAGTAGATATTAAACATTTGAAGAACTTTAGTGAAAACTAACTCGGACGAGTGCCTTAAATGTAAATGCTAAAACAGAAAAAAGTTAACAAAAACATTACATCTTAAATGCAGAATTGGTCTAACTATTCATGCTTTACAAACAAACAAACAAACAAACAAACAAAAAACAACCTAGAATTCTATCTCAAACTATGCAGAAATACTTTGGGATTAAGATGATGAGATAATGAGATAAAATGAGATGAAATGAAGATGCTTCATCTTCAATGTGGATGCTCCACCACTGGGAGGTTTTCAAGAAAAGATTGGGCAGCCATTTGTTCATGAAGGAATAAGAATACCTGCTCTGGGCAGGGGGTTGGACTAGAAGACCTCTAAGATCCCTTCCAGGCCTATGATTCTATGAAGAGCCTTGCAGCACCAGTTTTTTCTATCTGTTTAGTCAGAGGGGTATAAATGTAAGGAATATGCCCAAATATTTTTGGCCAGTCAAATACATGTGATACCCTAGGATAAAAACCTAATAAAACTCTGTTAGCTCTACTTAAAGGCCATAGATCACAAAAAAAACTGTTTGTTTTACCTGGTTTCTTTTAATCAATCTAAGATTTGCAGATTGTACTGAGAATGTAAAATTGAGATTGAGTGTATGTACAGTAGTGGCCAAAATTGTGGAAACCTTTTGGGAAAAGTGTACAGTAGAAATGCCACCTTTGGTTAAGTTTCCATCCATTTTTCTTCTAATTTCTTTATAACTGTAGCCTTGTTCACTTAATAATACTATTTTACATCGCTTTCTGGGCAACCAGTCAACTCTTTGCACCATTACTTTAATTTTATTACGTTTTACAAGCTCACTAAATGAAAGGACACAAAAAAACCCAACCAACTTGATAGCGATCACAATAACACACTGACAAATGTCCTCCTCTCAGCTTCAATACATGACATCAATAACCGAATCCTACCGTGATCTGATTGGCTCATTGCCAAAACAAGATGACCCCTGATTGGCTCTCTAAACACTCACACTCATTGGCTACAATCAGGTGAAGGAAAGCTACCTGAGATCAACCTGAGCAAGTTGTGCTTCCTTTTTCTGGTTATTTGGCTATAACTTTTCATAGAATACAGTACAGATCATTGAACAAACTATGTTGCATTACATTCTTGATTAAATTATCTTTCCATTGATAGATAATTTTATGGTACTACTCCAGAATAAAGTGATTAGCCACCAAACCTCAAAAATACACTTTTCCCAAAAGGTTTCCACAATTTTGGCCACTAGTGTAACCCTGGCACCTTAATTAGTTTAAAACTGTAATGTAACACGTTGGTCCCTTTATTTCATTCAAGAAGTAAGGCATCATATATGTTTCTTTTTACATACCACATATTCAAAAACAGGTACTTGTAAGAAAAATCATCCATATCTGTCCAAAAGCAATTCAGATCAATAAATTATGACCATTCTAAGATGAAAAATCTAAAACCTTTAAGAAAAATCTAAATTTTTTGACAAATAGGGATTGTTATAAATAGCCCTGCATAATAAGGGTTGTTTTTTTTTTCCTTACTCTGTTTTTAGCTGAACAATTTCATCTTCTGCTGCCAAAAGAGTAGTGGCTGATTTGGTCTTTGTGTCTTCCAGAGCCAGCTGAGCTTTGGTCAGACTGCAAGAGAATTTAATACCCAAAGATATACTTTTAAATATAAAGTCACTACTTTTTCTAGTTTGTTCAATGAAATAGGGTGCAGTGTATCGAAAAACTGCAATTCCAATAAACCCTTTGGAAGATGAAAGTTTTGAACAGGCTGGCTTAATTTATTAACAGGTAAAGTATTTTATCAAAATCACAACAACTAGTACTACAAAAGTCCCCATCATCCAAACCCAGATCCTCTACTTCAGGGTCTTCAAACTTGACCCTTTTATGACTTGTGGACTTCAACTCCCAGAATTCCTCAGCCAGTCCACAAGTCATAAAAGGGCCAAGTTTGAAGACCCCTGTTCTACTTCCTTCGTAATATAACAATCACCTTTACCTTAAATGATTGTTAAGTAGACGCAAGGAAAATATATGAATGGCCCAGGCAAGTGTAACTTAAATCACAATTTGAAAAGTAACAAATGTGTAACAAAAGCGCAATAATTTACAAAAATCTTTCGTATATTTTCTTTGCAGAAATGAATGATATTTGCGGGTATTTCGGAGGCTGTAGTTGGATCACAGATTCAAAAGGCAATTTAGGTATCTGTCCCTCCATCACTCAGTCGAGGTTAGTGCTATTTACTCTTTCTTGAAAGCAGCTCTTCCAAATACCATGTAGACCAGTGATTCTCAACCTTTCTAATGCCGTGACCCCATAATACAGTTCCCCATGTTGTGGTGACCCCCAAGTGGGTGTGGCCACCAATAAGAGGGAGTAGGACAGCTGGGGAAAAGGGAAAAAAATGGCGGACAGCATGGTTTGGTGACCCCCGTGAAATGGTCATTTGACCCCAAATGGGGTCCCGACCCACAGGTTGAGAACCACTGATGTAGACGTTATTCATTGTTTGCTTCTCAGAAGCTTTTAAGTGGAAACTCTAGGACAGTGATGGCGAACCTTTTAGAGACCGAGTGCCCAAACTGCAACCCAAAACCCACTTACGCACATCAGGTGCCAGGTGGGTGTGGCCCATTGGCTGGGTGTGGTCCATTGGCTGGATGTGGCCAATTGGCTGGGGGTGGCTGCGGTGGTAACGGCAGACTGGGTGGGACTAAAAAGTTCAATCAATCAATTCCAACTTTGCAAGATCTTTTTTTTTCCCCACGAGAAGTTGAAATTGACTGATTGATTGAACCTTTTTTTTTTTTGCACACAGCGGCAGAGGCCTAAAGTGAAAGGGTTTTATAAAACCCAGCTGAAGGCCTAGGGCTGGGGCAATGGCGCGCGTGCCCACAGAGAGGCTCTGAGTGCCGCCTCTGGCACCCGTGCCATAGGTTTGCCACCACTGCTCTAGGATTATTCCTCGCTGGCTGAGGAATTCTGGGAGTTGAAGTCCACAAGTCATAAAAGGGCCAAGTTTGAAAACCCCTGGGCTAAACTATGGATTCTGCCTAAAATGTCAACCCTGTGTGGGAAGTCAGGCCCCCAGAGAAGGAAATATTAAAAGAGCAGAAAAATATATTTCCTCAAAAGATCTTAAAGAGGCAGAAAAGCATGCCCAGTTTTTCTTAATAGCCCCAAGTCTCCCTCCCCCAAACAGAAACCAGCTCTGTAGAAATGCAGATGTAAATAATCCAGGAAGGTTGGAAGCCCCCAGCTAGAAGATTAAAAAGACAAAGATACCTAAATTCTACATACCCCATGCAAACTCTAAGACCGGACATAATAGGATTAACCATAGATGCCAAAGGTACACAGGTCAAAATACATGAAACGGGAAATACAAAGCCTCAAACAGGAACAGGAAACAACCTCAAGAGCCCCGGAGGGTATAAAAAACCACTTCCTACATGTGCTCTCTCTTTTTCTTCCAGAGCCATCTTCCTATCTAGCTCTCCTCTTCAATAAACTACAACCTTCTTTCTAATGCAGTCGCCATGTTGTTTATTCCCGGCTTGGACTGAACCATGATGAAGACTTCCTTCAACACCTGATTGATAGTTTGACAATCTCACACTATTGCCAATTCATTCAGTTATTTTGATATAACAGCAAACAGTTTCCTTCATATGATTATTGAATCTTTCCCAAGTGTCAATTTAGTAGGCAGATTAGAGTTAAGTAATTTATGTCCTCTCATACAGAGACTATAGTAAAAACAAACTGCACGGAGACAGCTCATTGCAGTTGTTTTCTCTGCTATTATGAAAATGCACTTTAAAAAGGTGGGAATAATATTGTTCGGAGAGATAGTCTGTAAAGCATTCTTGCTACGGGAAAGATGCCATCACATAAACAAGAGAGAACAATTCCTTCTCCTGCAGCTTCCTTTTATCAGATGTCTTCAGAATAGCTTTTGGAAAGTTAATCTCCACAACAGAGACTGGACAAGAGGTGGGAAAGGACCATTGCATGAATAAAAGATCTATTTCATGATACTGATTTCTTTAATTTCTTTAAACACATATCAAGAAAAGAGAGTATATCAAGGTAACTGCAGCATGGACATTTGTACCTGTCATAATCAAAAAAGACTTGGCAGCTTATTACATATGTGTTAATAAATCTAAGCTGAGAAAAAATTCATTGTATTTATCCAAAAGTAAGACAGTCCTAAGTTTAAAACGAGGGAAGACTGTACAAAAAAAAAAAAAAACCTATCTCAATTATTATATGTTCAAGTAAACAGAACTTCTCATTTTAAATTTATCTATCATGATGATCATCTTTACTTTTCACACACACACACACACACACACACACACACACACACACACATGTACTTTATTTTGGAGTACAATATATGAGTATTTTTACAGTTTCAAAGGGAAATATTTCTACTTTATTTTCCTAATATAAAATACTATTTTAAGATCTATGAATCTTTCATATATACCATATAGGCCAATGGTTCTCAACCTGTGGGTCGGGAGCCCATTTGGGGTCGAACGACCATTTCACGGGGGTCGCCAAACAAGGCGGTCCGCCATTTTTCCCCCCTTTTCTTTGGCCACGCCCCTGGCACCCGGTGATGTATAAGTGGTTGGGGGTCACTACAACATGGGGAACTGTATTATGGGGTCGCGGCATTAGAAAGGTTGAGAACCACTGATATAGGCTGACATTCCATTGATCAACCAAACTAATTCTCAATTACATACAGGGCAAAACCACTTAGATCAGTGATGGCGAACCTTTTAGAGACCGAGTGCCCAAACTGCAACCCAAAACTCACTTATTTATCGCCGGGTGCCAGGTGGGCGTGGCCCACTGGGTGGGCATGGCTGTGGTGGTCATGGCAGATTGGGTGGGTGTGGCCAAGGTGGGCGTGATCACCTTGATGTTGCTCATGGGGAGGGACACCTGTGGGGGCCGGGCAGGGTTGGGGGAAATCCAGGGGGTCTCTGGCAGGTGGGGCGGTGGGCAGGAGGCTCGTCCTGCAGGGTGAGGCAAGGCAAGGCGAGGCAGGGCAGGGGAGCTATTGTCACAGGGCAAGGTGAGGCAGGGGCCGGGGCGGCTACTGCCTGACACCATCGGCCCCTGCACACAGAGGCCAGCGAGCACATGGGTGCTAGGATGCATCCAGCCACATGGACCTCGGCAAGTTAGTGAGTGGCTGGTTGAAGAGGGACGGTTGCCATCTCCAGGGCATGGCGCGCGTGCCCACAGAGAGGACTCTGAGTGCCACCTCTGGCACACGTGCCAAAGGTTTGCCACCACTGACTTAGATTTTATTCATTGAGCCATTCAGTGTCTACTGTGTTAAAAATATCTTGGAAAAGAAAGAAATAGCTCAATAAAGGTTACAAACCACACCTTTTTTTTAAAAAAGCATTTCTTGTTACTTATTTTTTTTTTAAAAATTAGGTGCTTGTAAATATTTGTGGTTTTACCTCTAGAATAGTGGTTCTCAACCTGTGGGTCGGGACCCCATTTGGGGTCAAACGACCATTTCATGGGGGTCACCAAACCATGCTGTCCGCCATTTTTTTCCCTTTTCCCTAGCTGTCCTACTCCCTCTTATTGGTGGCCACATCCACTTGGGGGTCACCACAACATGGGGAACTGTATTATGGGGTCACGGCATTAGAAAGGTTGAGAACCACTGCTCTAGAAGAATTTAAGCCCATTTAAATTGATTTATGTTTAGGTCAATTTTGCTCACAATATATGTATAATTCAGCATGATTCTGAATATAATATGCTTCTACTCATAAAGAAACATAAATCGACTGTTAATAATTATGGTTGATGTCCAACTCATAATTTATCAGGTTTGCAAGGAAACAAAACATTTTTCTTCCTTCATATGAAAATTTAAAAAAAACATTTTTGTTTCTATCGGAAGGAAAATAAGGAAACAGCCGTGTTTTTCTAAGATATCTGAGAACCACTTTATAGATGCTTATTTTTTTTCTATATCTCTAGGTATATAAACCTGTCGTATAAACTTGCTGAGAGCTAGTTTGGTGTAGTGGTTAAAGCACTGTGCTAGAAACTGGGCAATCTTGAATTCTAATCCTGCCTTATACATGAAACCAACTGGATGACTTTGAGCCAGTCAGTCTCTCTCAGCCCTAGAAGGAAGGCAATGGCAAACCACTTCCAAAGAGGATGCCAAGAGAATCGTAGGGATTTGTCCCAAAAAATCCACAGAAACAAAGAATGACTAAAGACACATCACAATCTTATTAAAGACCTTAACTTCCACAGTCAACGAATACAGTTACGCCAATTGTATGGTAAATATCTCACACTGTACAAAACAATACGATCTATACATGCCAGTTTATGTTAAGCAGCCTTTTTGTCATTTGATGTACTCCACATTGATGGAGATGACAAAAAACGAAGAAGAGAGATAGTTTGGTATATAGTGCAGGGGTCTTCAAATTTGGCCCTTTTATGACTTGTGGACTTCAACTCCCAGAATTCCTCAGCCAGGCACACGTGCCTGGCTGAGGAATTCTGGGAGTTGAAGTCCACAAGTCATCAAAGGGCCAAGTTTGAAGACCCCTGGTCTGGATCCAAGCCTGCAGTTTCATCAAAATGGCCGACTGAGGAATTCTGGGAGTTGAAGTCCACAAGTCATAAAAGGGCCAAGTTTGAAGAAACCTGGTCTGGATCCAAGCCTGCAGTTTCATCAAAATGGCCGACTGAGGAATTCTGGGAGTTGAAGTCCACAAGTCATAAAAGGGCCAAGTTTGAAGAAACCTGGTCTGGATCCAAGCCTGCAGTTTCATCAAAATGGCCGACTGAGGAATTCTGGGATTTGAAGTCCACAAGTCATAAAAGGCCAAGTTTGAAGAAACCTGGTCTGGATCCAAGCCTGCAGTTTCATCAAAATGGCCGACTGAGGAATTCTGGGAGTTGAAGTCCACAAGTCATAAAAGGGCCAAGTTTGAAGAAACCTGGTCTGGATCCAAGCCTGCAGTTTCATCAAAATGGCCGACTGAGGAATTCTGGGATTTGAAGTCCACAAGTCATAAAAGGGCCAAGTTTGAAGACCCCTGGTCTAGTGGTTAAGGTGCTGGACTAAAAATCAGGTAACTATGAATTCAAGTTCTGCCTTCGATCCGAAAGCTGGCGGGATGACTTTGGGCCGGTCATTCTCTCTGAGTCCATCTCACCTCACAGGTTTATTGTTGTGAGGAAAATAAGAGGAAGGAGAAGTAATTAAATACAAATAATCCTTGACGTATAACCATAACCGGAGCAGAATTTGTTACTAAGTAAGCTGGTTGTTAAGTGGGTAATGCTTGATTTTATGACTTTTTGCGATGGTTGTTAAGCGAACCATTGCAGTTGTTAAGTGAATCGACCAAACATTAAGCAAAGAAAGCAAAGAAAAGCAAAGAAAAAAAAGTAAGGTTCTACATTTAGGTAAGAAAAACCAAATGTACAGGTATAGTATAAGGGGTACTTGGCTCAATAGTAGTAACTGTGAGAGGGATCTCAGAGTCCTAGTGGACAATCCCTTAAATAGGAGCCAGCCGTGTGCTGCAGCTGCCAAAAAAGCCAACACAGTGCTAGGCTGCGTTAACAGAGGGATAGAATCAAGATCACGTGAAGTGTTAATACCACTTTACAATGCCTTGGTAAGGCCACACTTGGAATACTGCATCCAGTTTTGGTCACCACAATGTAAAAAAGATTCTGAGACTCTAGAAAGAGTACAGAGAAGAGCAACAAAGATGATTAGGGGACTGGAGGCTAAAACATATGAGGAACAGTTGCTGGAATTGGGTACGTCTAGAAAGACGAGGGGGGACATGATAGCAGTGTTCCAATATCTCAGGGACTGCCCCAAAGAAGAGGGAGTCAAACTATTCTCCAAAGCACTTGAAGGCAGGACAAGAAGCAATGGATGGAAACTAACCAAAGAGAGAAGCAACCTAGAACTAAGGAGAAATTTCCTGAAAGTTAGAACAATTAACCAGTGGAACAACCTGCCTCCAGAAGCGGTGAATGCTCCAACAATGGAAGTTTTTAAGAAGAAACTGGACAGCTGTTTGTCCAAAATGGTATAGGGTTTCCTGCCTGAGCAGGGGGTTGGACTAGATGACCTCCAAGGTCCCTTCCTTCGTTATTATTATTATCATTATCATTATTATTATTATCATTATCATTATTATTATTAATCTGGCTTTCCCCATTGACTTTGCAAGGCCTCTATCGTAGGAAGGTCGCAAATGGCAATCACATGACCCTGTAGAGCTGCAGCCGTCATAAATACATGCCAGTTGCCGAGCACCCAAATTTTGATCACATGACTTTGGAGATGCTGCAATGGTCCTAAGTTTGAGGACCAACTAAAACTAACTTTTTTCAATGCTATTGTCACCTGGGTTGCTAAATGAACGGTTGTAAGTCAAAGACTACCTGTATGTTTGCCATCTTGAATTATTTAAAAAAACCAATAAAGGCAGGATAAAAAAGAAAAAAATTTAAAAGCATCTAGAATTCCCAGGTCCTAGCCACGCTGGCTGAAAATCCTGCCTGTTGTGTCCCACCATACCTGGAAGGCCTCTGCTTGTAAATGCCGCTCAGTTATTTTGTACATAGCAGGATTCAATATTTTTCAACTTATAGAAGGACAAAAAAAGGTTTTTTTTCCTACTCTTGTTGCATCAAACTCAGCTGCAACCGTGTGGCGCTCAATTCTTTTTCCAGCTGCTCAACTTCGAAGCTCCGAACGCTGCTTAATTCCCTCAGCAGTCGGTCTTTCTCAAGGGATTCCTACAAGCAGATATACATAGTCTAAAAATTACAAATGAAAGAGCATTTGTTCGACAAGTTAAAATATCCCAGAAATATTGTGAGAAATTATGCAGATGTCTTGAATTAATTTAAGTGAGTTTAATGTTTAAGGATGGTCAAGCAAAGATTCATATGTTGTGAGGTTGCAACACAACCACCTCACAGCAACACCCCTGACATAGCAACATCACAGCATGCATTTCACCATCTTTGCCCAATCACAGCTCGGAGCTAATAATACACTTGTTTAATTAAAACAGTAAATATCTGCAGAAAGAGGACAACCCTTGGGAGAGGAATCCAATTGTATGGCAAATATTTGGGGTTTTTGCTTTCATTGCAATACAAATAGCATGCTTAGATCACACGATCCTCCTTTAACATAGCTTTTTCCTGGCTGACAGATTCTTCAAAATGTATTAAGTTCAACAGCATAATTTCGGAGCAAGGATATTTGCTATGGCAAATCTAGACAGCATACTCAAAAGCAGAGACATCACCCTGCCAACAAAAGTGTGTATAGTCAAGGCCATGGTTTTCCCAGTTGCAATGTATGGCTGTGAAAGTTGGACCATAAGAAAGGCTGAGCGCAAAAGAATTAAGGCCTTTGAACTATGGTGCTGGAGAAGACTCCTGCGAGTCCCCTGGACTGCAAGGCGATCCAACCGGTCAGTCCTAGAGGAGATCAACCCTGACTGCTCTTTAGAAGGCCAGATCCTGAAGTTGAAACACAAGTACTTTGGCCACCTAATGAGAAGGAAGGACTCACTGGAGAAGAGCCTAATGTTGGGAAAGATGGAGGGCAAGAGAAGAAGGGGACGACAGAGAATGAGGTGGCTGGATGGAGTCACTGAAGCAGTAGGCCTGAGCTTAAATGGACTCCAGAAGATCGTAGAGGAGAGGAAGGCCTGGAGGAACATTGTCCATGGGGTCGTGATGGGTCAGACACAACTTCGCAATTAACAACAACAAATATTTCAGTAATGGCTTTAATGTTTCAGCTGTTTAAAGTTTTGGACCTTCTGTATGAAATATGCAGACCACACCATGATGTATAACATTTAAGATATTCCAGCCAGCACAGCTATCAGGCTGAAAAACACTGCACTCAGATTGCCCAGCGCATTTCAGCTAATTATCTGAGGTCACATGATCCTCTTCATGAAGATCATATTTTTGGTTTGTTGTAATTATTATTTCTAATGGCAAGAACACGCCCAAGTACTATTCAGTATGCATGGACTATATTTTGTTCCATCTCTCCAGCTACTTCAGCGTTAACTGACTGGAACCCCCAAGAATCTGGAGGAGAAATCCATGAAGAACTGAGACACATTTGAAGTCTGAACACCCAAGCATATTTTTTAAAGACTTGATGATAAAAGATACAATTTCTGAATCAAAACCATGCAAACTTTTGGTTTAATTTTTATATTGGGAATTTTAAAAAAAAAAAAAAAATAAGAATTACCTGTAATACAGAAGAACATGTGTCCAGGGTGCTTCCAGAAGGACTAGAAAAGCAAGTACCCAACCATGGGAGGAGACGAGATTTTATTATTTCCATACCTTCATAATGGCCACCTGGGTTGATAAATTAAAAATACACATGACAAAATGCTTTAAAATGATTGGGTATGAATCCATTTCGGAAACACATGCCATACATGTACGATACATAGGGTTACCCCAAGTGATTAACAGAGACCCCCAAGAGTTGATGGGATTATCCAAAGAGTTGATAAAGTGCTAAGAGTCAGGGGGGGGCAGTAAATGACTGGGAGGGCCAATAGGAAGAGACTGAATCTGGAAAAGCATGATGACTTACTACTAAATAATGTCAGCGTCTTTGATGAAACGCATCAGATGTATTCTTCCCATTAAAGACATCAACAATTTCAGTAAAAAAAGATTATGTCAGATCTTATATTTTAAATATTACTTACTTTTATAAGGTCATCATTATTATGTATGGGCGATCTACAATAAGATTCATAGTCTAAGACTGGTGGAAAATTCAAGTCCTAATCAAGGACCTAGGAACGATTAAGGTAGTGCATAAGGAAATAGGCAGTTCCAAGCAGGGTGGGTTTTGTTTTTTGTTTTTGTAAAAGCAGGGTGTTCAGGTCTGACAAATTCAACATTTCCAGATATTCAGCGAGTAATCTCACCTTCTTGACAAGCTTGATTGAGAATCGAAAACAGCTGTCCCTGAATCATGGCGTTCAGTTCCATGATTTCACAGCACAGTGTCAAATTTTTATTACATGAGTTAATCTGAAAATCAGGTAAATGTTCTTGATTAATCCAGTTTTATCCGTTTTATTCCTTCACCAGTCATTCTTAACAAATAGAACAAATCTGAATGAGAAGTACAATTTTACATCATACGTCACTCCCGGTGAGTAGGAATGACAAGGGGTATAATTATAATAAATGTGGAGAAAGTTTTTTTTCCTTACTTTTGGCCATACTGATCGTAAGGAAGTTTTCCTTGGTTACTCAAAGACTACCTGGCACATGGAACTGTATGCACTGTTTATCATAATAAATCAAGGATTAAGATGTGAACCACACTGTCATAGCAGAATACAGTAGAAAAAAAAATCAATCTACATTCACACTAATTAATTTCATTAGTAAATAAAACTATTTTCCAAATACGATATGTTATTTTTCAGTTACTCCTTGTGCTTCTATATAATACATAAAAAGGGAGAATAATTTTTTTGCTCCCAGCACATTTGGAACTGGGTTAGACATACTCAAAAACGGGTGCTTTATGAGACTCCCTCATTCATAAAATGACTAACTTTATGGATTTCAAAGGCTTTACTGATGCAAAGTTTGTGCTTTTCTTCCCACTGATCTATGATTTTTAAACAATCAAATGGGACAGGAAAGCTGGTGGGAATCAAGTGAAGTGGGACATATGTATATTCTTAGATAAAACATTAAATCAGGAATAATGTTTTGCATCCACAGAAACTGGGAAAAGACTTATGATCTATGCAGTCTATTGGAACATGGTTTCACGAGGTAGAATGTTAGGCTTCATTCAGACCCGACTGCAGCATCAAATGATAACTAGCATGTGTAAATGAGCCTTAGTAGATAAAGCTTCACAAACTCTGAGCTCTCCAACTGCAGACGCAATGGGGTAGGGGTAAACATATCCTTAATTTCCAATTACCTCCAGCTCATCTTAGTGCATTTAAAGAAAGTGTATGGAGAACTCATTTCAAAAAATAACAAACGCATTCCAAAACTAGATGCACAGTATAAATCCAGAAGCCTGAAATGGTACTGATATTCAATAAAATATTAAAATGCTACTAAGAGGAAAGAATGATTAGGTCCTGGTAGAGCAACACAGATTGTTGTAAACTCTTACAGTCGTTCTCTGAGGTTGACCTGAAGACGGATTACAGTTACTTGTAATAGAAATTGCAGATGTTGCTAAGCATTTACTATTTACTTCCAGGGGTAGTTTAGAATTGTGGTTAAGGTGCCAGGCTAAAAACCAGGAGACTGTGAGTTCTAGTCCCCTCAGGCATAAAATAAATAATAAAGATGGGATATAAATAAAATTTAAAAACATGACAGATTCCATTCTCTACCTTCAGTCTGCCTCAGAAGACTATTGCAGGAACAAAAGGAGAGCCGGCTGAAACAAAGAGCTGGTTTCCAAGTCATTTGGTCTGAGCAGCTTGGAAGATCAGCAGAATAAAAATCTAACACTTTAAAAAAGATTTTACAGGATATCATGCCAACCAGGTGAAATGCAGACCCTAAGAGGGGAATGGCATGCCTGTGGAACGATAAACCAAGGATGTAAAATCTGGTCCAAGCTGCACTCAGGATCTGCCATCTGGTGACTGGAGGGGCAACTCCATGTGGACTAGTTGCTAAGGGTACCAAAGTGATTTTTCCACTGGTATCACTGGGAGATTTTTTTCAATTTTCCAGTCTGGCTTAGAGCTCTGGAATTTCATCCGATGTTTTCCCCACCCAAGCCTTATTTTTAGGTCAGCCAAGGTCGACCAAGGGCGATCCGTTGCCAAACTGGGGTGTGGGAGGAAGAAAAGAAACTTGAGTAATCAATAGTTACAAATAATTGCCGGTCTAAGATGTTGTCGGCACAGTGTACCATTACATTCTGTAACGGTGGCAACCACAACATTCCCTCCCTTCTTGGCGCGGGAATCCAGCGTCCTTGGTTACTGTTTTCCCGGGAAATCGCTAAGAGGTCTCCAAGATCCATTGAAGCCCGGATCCACCTCCCGCCATCAACTTGGTTCTCAGCGCCCTTCGCGAATCGGATTGTGGCGGGTTTTTTCTTTCCTTTATGGAGAGGATTTGGGTTGAAAAGTCCTCGGAGAAGATCTTGGAAGCTTATAATTACCCCCCGGCATACATTTTGCCCCTCTCCCTTCGCCGGAAGGGAAAATAATATTCAATCAGAATAGAGCTGTGGAAGGGACCTTTGGAGGTCTTCTAGTCCAACCCGCTCCGGCTCGAGCAGGAGACCCTATATGCCACTTCAGACAAGTGATTTGTCCAGTTTCTTCTTAAAAAGCTCCAGTGATGAAGTGCATCACGTTAAAAAAATAATAATAGAGGATGCTCTAGTCTAGACACTCAACACACACACACACACACACACACACACACACACGCCACCTCCTCGTCCCCAGATGCCTTCTCGAAAGACAAACCCTGCTTATATCAACCCGGCGTGTTACACACTCACATAATAGTCTTTATACCAACTTTCCAGCTTCTCCTGCAAAAGCCTGCAGGTCTCGTTGTTGATCAATCTCCTCAAGGTGTCAGCCATGCCTCCCGGAGATGGCGACAGAAAGGGCGAAGAGAGAGAGAGAGAGTCTAGGCTGAAGAAGGGCTTCTTTCCCAACCTAAGCAATGGGCGTCGGTTTTATATATATATATATATATATATTATTTTTTCTTCCTCCCGGGGCTTTCGCTTCACGCCAGCCCGGAGGTCCCGGCGAAGGAGACGGCCTTTCACTGGAGGGTGGCCTCCAAAAAGGCTCAGCCCGGGGTTTGTCCTGGCGAGCCTCCCCCGGTGATTGGAGCATTTTATACTCCGTGATTGTTAAACAAACTGACGTTGCCTTTTGCTCGGATGTCAGGGACGCCACGGCTGCGCGGAAAGAGCCCGCGGCTTTGGTTGTAGCAACGGGCCGAGAACCCCACCTTCCTCCGCGCCTTTTTCTCCGGCCTCGGGGTGGCGGGGAGAAGCGGCTTTCCAGGAGAAAGGGAGCTTGGAAAGGAAGCATGTTGGAAGGCAGCTTTCCCGACCACTCGATCCCTCCCTCCTCCTCCCCCCCCCACGGGATCTTTCCCTTCGCCGCCACCTTCCACCCCTGGCGCCTCGCCTTGGAGAGCTCTCCAAGGAGGAGTCTGGGAAGCGCCCAGAACGACTATGGGGCGGGAGGAGAGACGGGATCCCGTTATTAGAGGTTCCGGCAAATGGGCAAAATTGTGGCGAAGGCCGCGCTTTGGGCAGGCCGCTCGCCCTCGGGTCTCTCGCGGCTGGAAAGAGAGAACGAGGCGCTCCCCGCCTTCCGAAGAGGCTTCCGCGACCGCGACCCGCCCGCGAAGGATGCGGACGCGCGTGTGGCGCGTAGGTGACCTTTATTCTAATGACTCGAGAGTTCGGGCTTCCTTTTTCAAAATGATGCATTAATTTTCAGATCGCCAGATACAATCTTCACATTACAGGGAAGTGGAAAACGAAGCCTCCTCTTGTTCAGATTATTCTCCTACGTCTTGAAAGTATCCATCCATCCATCATCTACCAGTATCTGTCTGTCTGTCTATCTATCTATCTATCTATCTATCTATCTATCTATCTATCTATCTATCTATCATCTATCTATCCATCCATCCATCCATCCATCTGCTACCATATCTATCTATCTATCTATCTATCCATCCATCCATCCATCTACTACCATCTATTATTTTTATCTATTTCTTTCTATCTATCTATCTCTTCTATTTCTATCTATCTACAGTATTTATCCATCTACTACCATCTATTATTTATATCTCTATTTATCCATCCATCTATCCATCTACTACCATCTATTATCTATCTATCTATCCATTTATCTATCTATCCATCTGCTACCATATCTATCTGTCCATCCATCCATCCATCCATCTACTACCATCTATTATTTTTATCTATTTCTTTCTATCTATCTATCTCTTCTATTTCTATCTATCTACAGTATTTATCCATCTACTACCATCTATTATTTATATCTCTATTTATCCATCCATCTGTCCATCTACTACCATGTATTATCTATCTATCTGTCTATCTATCTATCTATCTATCTATCTATCTATCTATCTTCTATTTCTATCTATCTACAGTATCTATCCATCTATCTACTACCATCTATTATTTATCTATCTATCTATCCATCCATCCATCTATCTATCTGCAATAGTGGCAAATATCTGTAGCTTGGGTGTAGGATGAGGGTGAAAGTTCGTTCTCTGAACGTTTCATTACCAGGCTAGGTAACATCTTCAGCCGAGTTTAGGGGATGTCAGTATCACTGTTCTGTTTATAAGGGCTTCACATCCACACCTGCACTGACACTGAATTTAAGATCTTTTCAATCCTATAACTCAACCTTCTCTAACTTGATGCCTTCCAGGCGACTTAGACAACAACCTTTCCAATCCCCTGAGCGGTACATTTGGGGAAATCCAGTTTATGGGAAGCAACTCCTAGCAAATCTATTCATGTCCTGTGAGGAAAGGTAAAAGGGAGGCCAAATACTAAAAGGTGTGAAGGGATCTCTTGTGTCAGAGTAGGGTATTTTCATTAAATGGAATGTCAATTTTTGCAGCTATCCTTTTGAGCTGCGTATCCCTTTACGCCCAAGAATGAGAGAATAAGACATCACAATGGATATGTGTAGCATTTGTTTAGTACCACTTTACAAAGTTCTAGTTCCACTTTACAAAACTGTGGGGAAAAATGCACGTGCAGCAAACTGCCGTGCTTTCCCCCCCACAAACCTCATAACCTTTTGATACCCTTTGTCCTAATGAAGCAGCCAGAAGGTCATCCACTTTTGACTTAATGCCTCACCTACCTAAACAGATAATATGCTTAAGTTCCTTCCTATCTCTTCCTGTCTTTGTCAGTTCTTTCTCCTTTTGATCTACCTGTATTTGTTCTTACCTGGGTCTTTGACCATGTAATGTGTTACTAGAAAATAGTTGCTTACATGAAGACATTTTCCAATGAAGAAACCTTTGTCAGCATTTAATGGTAAAGCCTATGTATGAAACAAGTATATAAGAAGCAATAAACTCAAGAGTTTGTCAAGCTGTGTCCTGCAGCTTCAAACCTCTGCTCAAGACATGCCTGTGTCTTTTTCTTAGCTTCTTACACAAAACCTTTGCAAGACCACACTTAGAATGCTACATCCAGTTCTGGTCACCACAATATAAAAAAAGATGTTGAAAAGAATGCAGAGCAACAAGGATAATTAGGGGACTGGAGGCTAAAACATATGAAGAACTTTTTCAGAAATTGAGTATATCTACCTTAATGAAAAGAAGGGCTAGGAACTATATGATACCAGCGTTCCAATATTTGAGGGGTTCCTACAAGGACGGGGGTGGGAGGGTCAACCTATTTTCCAAAGCGCTTGAAGGCAAGACAAGAAGCAATGGATGGAAAATAATCAAGGAGAGAAACAACCTACAACTCAGGAGAAACTTCCTAACAGCGAGAACAATCAACCAGTGGAATGCCTTGCTTTCAGAAGTTGTGGGTGCTTCATCACTGGAGACTTTAAAGAAAAGACTGGATATGAAGATGTTGGAAGTGTAAACATAACATAGGCACGTATTGCCACATTTGGTGGACATGTGGTAAGGCAAAGGCCTATTGGAAAAATATACATATGTGGTTAGAAAAAATATTGGGCGAACAAGTGGACTTTAAACCTGAATATTTTTTTTACTAGGCATTATGCCTGAAAAGACTAATAAGCAGAAACTATATTTAATTTTACACAGCAGCGAGAATAATTTTTGCACAATACTGGAAGAACGAAGGACTGCCATCAAAGGAAGAAATAATCAGGAAAATATTGGAATGTGCAGAGATGGACAGATTAACTATGAGGTTGTAAGAAACAGACTACTATCAAATTTGGAATTTATTTTATTCTTGATTAGAGAAGAGAATGAAGGATTAGGAATTGAACATGTATTAGTATAGCAAACTCCAGACAACTTGTTGATTGGAAAAATTAACATATGTTGATGAAAAAAAAATTAATAAAAAAAATTTTTATGAAGAAAAAAAAAGAAGAGACTGGACAGCCTTTTAGCTGCAATGGTACTATAAAGTCTCCCGCTTGAGCAGGGGGTTGGACTAGATGACCTCCAAGGTCCCTTCCAACTCTATTATTCTATGCTCTCCCTCTCTTCGGACCGCGCTGCTTTTCTCCTGGGTCTTCCCTTGGGCATCCAACGGCCTCTTCTCGACCTCCGGTTCCCACCGTCTGCCGGCAGAAAGCGCGCACCGGGGGTGGGGAGAGGATTCCGCGTCAGCTTTTCGTCGAGCGCCGCCGCCGCCCAGCCTCGCTCCCCCTGCGGGCCAAGGAAGGACAACAAGCCGAAGATGGCGGTTCTTCCAGCCTCTGCAGCGGCGGCGGCGGCTTCCGAGCAGGTCGGTAGGCAACGGGGAAGGAGGGAATTCGGGCAGGCGCCGCGGAAAAGAAGGGAGCGGCGGCGCTTTTCTTGCGCTTTGGCAACCTGGCGCAAAGCAGAGGTGGCCGCGGCTGGGGCTAGCCTTCCGTCCGCCCCCCTCCCCCTTGGGACTCAGCTCTCCCCGGGTCTCGCAGCAGCTGGAGAAGGGCGGCTGGGAGCCGTCCGACCGAGCCCGGCGGCGGCCGGAGGGAGGACGCAGGGGCGAGAAAAGCTCGCTTCGGCGGCGCCATAGCCAAGCGCCTCTTTTTTTTTTTTGAAGCAATCCTCGCCCGTTATATTTGCGCTTTCGGAAGGAATCTTTAAAATACCTCTCCCCCCCCCAAATAAAATAAAATAAAATAAAATAAATCATGCGCTTGGGTGGATTTGCACCGCGGGCTGGCTGCTCCCTTGCTGGAGAACCACGCCCGGAGCGGCGTCCGAGAGGGAGATTCCTGCCCAAGTAAGCGCGCGCCCGGCCCGCCGCGCAAAGCAAAAATAGACCGCTACGAGTGGCAGCCTCTCCGCCCGCGGCCGGCGGGTCGCGACCGGGCTTGTTGCTCCTGGGCTGCCTGGAACAAGGACGCGGAGGCTGGAGGAGATGTGGGGAAAACCCGGGGCGGCCCAAACGGACCGCTGCGCGGGGATTGTGGAGGACAGAAAGGGCCGGCAAGCTTGGCAAAAAAAAAAAAACCGAGGAGGCCGACCTAGAATAACGCTCCCTTTTAAAGGCTAAGGCTGTGTGTGTGTGTGTGTGTGTTTGTATGTTTGTGTGTGTGTGTGTGTGTGTGTGTGTGAGAGAGAGAGAGAGAGATTGGCAAAAAACCGAGAAGGCCGACCTAGAATAACGCTCCCTTTTAAAGGCTGTGTGTGTGTGTTTTTGTGTGCGTGTGTGTATGTGTGGCCCTTTTAAAGGCAGTGTGTGTGAGTGAGTGAGTGAGAGAGAGAGAGAGAGAGAGATTGGCAAAAAAACGAGAAGGCCGACCTAGAATAACACTCCCTTTTAAAGGCTGTGTGTGTGTGTGAGAGAGAGAGAGACAGAGATCTTTCCTTGTCACTACATTAAAAAATAATAAGAGTAATATTTATGGTTGAAGGTGCAATTTTTTTTTAAGGATTTTACTTTGAAGAGACTGTCTTGTGCCCCCCATGTTCATTCAGTATAAATTACAGGTAGTCCTCGATTTACGACAGTACATTTAGTGACCTTTTGAAGTTACAGGGGCACCGAAGAAAGTGACTGAATACCATTTTTCACACTTAAGACCGTTGCAGCCTCCCCATGCACACACGATGAAAAGTCAGATGCTCCGCAACTGGTTCGTGTTTATGACGGGTTGCAGGGTCCTGGGGTCCTGTGGTCACCTTTTGTGATCTTCTGACATGCAGTGGGGAAGCCAGATTCACTTAACTGAACAACCTGTAGTGATTTCTCAACAATGGAGACAAAGGTTGTAAAAATGGGCTAAAATTAATATAAATGTCTGGCTTAGCAGTAGAAATTTTGGGCTCAATTGTAGTCGTAAGTTGAGGACTAGCTATACAGTATTTTCAAGTCTGCTTATTTCTTGGCCAGTGG